TTATATTTGTGTAAAACCATTATTCTAATATTCCTCTGATTAATGCTCATATGTATCATCGTAATGTTATTTCGATTAGTTCTTATGACTTACTAGCTCAATCGATGATAAAGACTGGTCATCTATATTAACTAATTAGCTTTGGTGGTTCACCGACAAGCTTTAACAGCACTTACATGCTCCAGCGAAATAAACTTGTTTAAAGATCAACCTATAGCAAATATGACCTGTAACTAACCTAAATATACATTGACTAATACCAATGCAATCAAGGACTAAATAGTTATCTGGATCTGATTCTTATTGTTCCTTTGCTTAACACCTCATTCTTTTTAAAACTATGCACCATCCTGTAATATCTTTTATTTCGACCACCACCGACCACAACAAGGGTGACACTACTCCAAAAACATACGGTGAGTTTCAGCTATAAGTTTTCTGCAATCGTAAGGTCATCTTACATGGCTCCTTCAATGGCAACTACACAATTACCTGGATTCATTCGACTGTTGTGATCCGAGCTAGTGGCAAAAACGTCAACAACACCAAGCACCCTGGAATCAATTGCCATACGGCATGTTTTATTCTGGATACTTTTGGATCATGACTACTCACGAATGGCGTTATATATTGTCGTCCACTCAATATTCTAATTTTCAAAATTAATCCAGGTGAGTTCGACTATTTTACTGGATGATTTTTTGTACTTAACATATACATATTTTCTAGTTGCTTTTGCCATATATTTGTAAGTGTCCCTAGGCTAAATGCAGTAACTTCTTATGGAATCGTTATAACGCATCATATTCCTGCCTGAAGTTTCATAAGCAGGATTAACTTTAAAGTTACTTTTCTGGTCATATTCATTATTTTTAAATTGTCATATACGTCAACAACCTGCATGTTAACCTGGCCCGTACATACGTTGCACTATATCTTCGTGTCTTCTTAATTTAGAAATCATCTGAATCACCTTTAACATTTATCAATAAACCCATCATAGTCGTTGTTACTAATCGTATTCGGGTTTATGGATTGGTTTATCATATTAGCAGTCTAAAATGCGGACATAGTTTAAATAATAAGAATACAAATTTAGGTACTATTAACTGTACTAGTAAAATAAATAAATCTTCATGTAGACCATATAGTGCCTATATTGAAACCAAACTGCATCACAATGCAAACCCTAGCTAAAATTCCGCAGGGCAAGTGGAAAACAAGAAGACTAAGAAACACATTGCGTTGGGAATTGGAAACAGATATGGGAAGTGAATAATAAGAACTAGAAACAAATGGAAAGTATTTTACAGGACAGATTTGGTCGCAGAATTCTAGTGGGTGGCCTAAGCCTCTTCACGAGGGGTAACAGGTGTGTGTAAGCGTGCAAAATGCTGAACCGTGACCGGATATAATCTTCAATCGTAATGTGAAGTCCCACAAGCAGGTAAATTCATATCTATTAACCTTAATATGCTTGGGTTGGTAAGTAAATAATGTATTATAGCAGGTTTATACCGAAGGGATTAGGGTGTAGAATTATGGTCTACTATGATATTGGTACTGCTTTAATAATAGACCTAATCCTAAAATTGTACATTTGTCATGACATAGCTGCCTAATCTATAAGATCTTACGTCGAAGTCATACCATCGTCTACACTAACTCACACCATCGTAACAATTACCAATACATGATGGAGAACAAGCTTAAGCTAGAGAAAGAACAATATTTTTAATATGAATAAAAGATATAAGGTAACATTCAGCAGGGACCACGCCTGCATGGCCGAGCCATGCCATCAGATCAACTCGAATTAATTACATTCATTGTTTCCGCCTGCGCCATCGTTAGGTATTTCTCCGCGTTAACTATTGAATATTTGTTTTCCGAGTAGTCTCGTGTTCAGCTCTTAGGATTGTGTGGTTATGGTCGGATTCCACTACAAGTTCATTAAAACTAATGTGGTCAGCACGAATTGTCAAAGACTTACAGAGCTATTGGTTTTGGGGATTTATTTACCTCTTCATTTCGAATATCTTTTTCTCAGTTACCTCATGTTCAGTTTTGAGAATTGTGTGGTTAGGATAAATACCACTACATATTTAAATTTTCACTTCTTTATTTATGGACTGAAAAAAAGAATTGAAGTGAAATCGAAAAATCTATCTGTCGTTTTAGTACTTATTTATATTCGTCCCGTAGCTCCCACAAATAAAAAAACGATATAGTTCCACGAATCGTGCGAACAAACAGGAGAGAGTTTACGTCCTTAAGTCCTTATGACAGCATTAAGTATGAAATGAGCTGTAGTGACAAATTGATTTCTAAATGCTCCTCTATAGGTCTTAGACATTGGCATCAACGTTACTAGTTTCACTGAGCACAGTTTTGGTCAAGCATTTGATTTACACGACAACGTGTCTGGGTACCCCGAGCGGCGATATATAGTCAGCTTGGATACTATCTTTCACAGTGCATCGACCTCTGACAAAAATGATAAATGTATTTGTCAAGTTACTGCCCGACAGACAGACGTTTGCTCAATTTACTTCTGAGATTATAGAGTTTCTTCGTGCCTAGCGAATAAGCTCTTTAGGTTGTCATCTACTATTGCCTTTATCCGGGACTATATGAAACTTGGGTATCATGCACTGTTTGAATGCCGGATAAATTGTAAATCAGAATGGTGTGTGGAGATTGTAGTGATTTGAGCAGCTGATTTCACGAGCTGGTGTCAGCTAGGCTACCATGGAAAGTCCATGGGCACTGGACGGGAGTTTCGTCCTAGCATGGAACTCCTCAGCTGTGGTGCCCTGACCCAGGAACCTCTAGACCTCTGATCCACGAAAACACCAATTATTGCTGCCATGCACTGTTTGAAGGCCGGATGAATTCTAAAGCCACCATGCAGTTGAGCTCATGTTTTGCCATCGCCTACTTCACAGGATTTAGTCGGCAGACTTTCTAGCACACAGAGTAGTTCTGTATTTGTGTAATAGTGCATGAAGTTGTATGGTTTTCAATACGGACATGTTAAAAGCAACCGTCTATTCATTTTGGAATACGAAATCCAACTGGGCATGTGCCTTTCAAAAGTACTAGTTTAGTTCTTTTGGTTAATTAGTGGTTGATTAATTTGAATACCCAAAGTAAGAATCCTTGTAATATTTTTTTTGTTATCTGCCTATCTATCTACTTTTTGGTCGTGAAGACGGGACAGGTATTCAGTGTTTGACAACGCTTTTACCAGTAACATCTAATATAACTCTTACCCGCCAAAAGAAATCAAAAGGCAGAATCGAGGAGATCGGAAGAGTGTATTTGAAGATAACCAATATATCGGAATTGTCTGATCTAATCTGGCTAGCGATTGCAGTAGATGTTCAGCACGGCGTTCCCACACGTGATCTGGTGCGGATGCATGACCGAGCGCCTTTAGCTAGGTGAGTCCACTAAAACTAATGTGGTCAGCATCCAATGTCGAAAACTTACAGAGCTATTTATTTTGGGGAATTATTTACCGCTGCAATCGTATTGATTTATCGATACTTGGGACCCCCTGACTAATTTACGTTGTAGACAGTTTGTATTCATATCAGTACAATTCAGATTGGGCCAGTCTAGTACAGTTCTGGATTTGTTTCACTACAATACAATTTCTAGAAATTCCGTTGCCGGTGTTCTTTCCATTCCAATACAATTGCCGTTGATTCTAAGTGCCTATGTTAATATAAATCCAATAGTCACAAACAGGTGTTGATCCGAAACTGCTATCATTCCAGTCCAGCTGTGTCCATACAATCGACTTACAATTTGATTGTTTATGACTGAGAAGAACATTTGTATTCTAGTTTTTAGTTGAGTAGTTTGTCCTCGATCATCGAATATAAAGATGACAAACATAACGCACAGCTAATAACAAACAGTACTTCTGATTGCAGCATGTAGCGTTCGGGATATTTGCGAAGAACCGGTTAGAAGTACAAGTTAACCACATAACTGACTCAAAGTGAACGTAATCTGGAACTGGAGAATAGTGTTTTGTAAACAGATGTATTAGTTTTTCTATCTTCTTGGCTCAGTTTGCTTCGCTCGACTGGGAGGTTGTAATATCTCAGCAGATCTGTCTCAGTGACTGCGATTGAGATGTCTACAATGATTAAGTCAAATTAATTGTCTTGCCCACACTGAAACTCTGACAAACACACGCCTAATCACAATGATGATCACCTTTCCATCTGCATCCCATGGAGCATTAGGATAACCACAAATAATCGAATTCAATATGCTAACTATCTGATTCGAGCTCTACCAGACGAGTACTCATGCCAGGGAGAACCTCTTAGTTAAAATCATACGTATTGTATTCATAATTCGGGTAGAGCACAGAATAATATACAACGCTGAAAGCTCCACGACCAAACGATTTAGCTCAGAGAACAAAACTCCAGCAAAATACAACGGAATCATAAGTTAATAGAAATGCCGTAATTAAACATAGACTCTTACTGACAAGCTTTAGAATTCGTGAGGACGCACACTTAAGCGCCAGTATCCAAGATGTTAGCAAAAATTTTTCATCGCATTTAAAGCATCCAATAAACATTTATTTTCCCTGACTTCAGTTCCCGCTTAAACGCGCCCCCATGACACCTACCACAGTAGAAAAACGTGGAACGACATTTAGAAATGATAAAACCGCAATGTGTGGAGGTGATGTGCTGTATATGTTATAGTAATTACGCTAATCCAGACTCCCCGATGTTCGTGGACGAGAAGCGCATGTTTTGTCAAACCAATATTATTCAAAACCAGAAATTAGAAGGAAGTGACAGGGATTTTTATCGTGACGAGATAATCAGATATATGAAACGGGCTGTAAGTGTAGCAGGGTGATACTCCTTCAAGTCATATGACAAAAGCTAGGTGATTTGTATATCCAATGATTGACGTATTGTGATAAACAGATTTCATTGTACTTCAGGTGTTGCGCAATCACAAGGCGCCTTTTGCGACTGGGAAATTATGGCGGGAGGTGAGGGGTTTTATTTTCCTAGTCGATCCAAATGTTTGTAGCCGTTGTTTTGAACCAAAATCCAAAAATATCCACTTTTTCCTACGTAAGAGGAACCAGGCGCCTGGTATTCACACTTGTGATTTCGTATCTCATAAAACTTTAAATAATACTTCTTTCTTACTCCTAATATATTGACAACTCTCATGGCGTAGGATTTTCAACTTCAGAGTTCTTCATCTGGCGCTTCGGCAGTACAGGACATATAACATCAAGTGTCCACATTTTATGTTGTCTCTTTCTCCCGATGATTGTTTAATTGGTTTTGAGACTGAACAGAAACAGTTTGGTCAGTATACTCGACCTCCCAAAATGTCAGCTAGTGGTGAGAACACCCTAAAAGCGTATGGCATTTCTTCCAAGGGTCAAACAAACCCCTGTTTATGATAAACGAAGCTCGAAAGCCTTTTCGTAGATAGATTTCATCACCCACTTTCGTTTCAGCATTGATGATATATCCAAGATAATTACAATAGTCAGTGCACTTAGTTGCTGCATGCTGATTTGTAGGACTAGACAACGACATCAATTAGTCTTGGAGCATCCTTTGGGATTTGAGTGGTTAACTGCACCAAACACTTCAATTCTCATGGCTTTCAAAACCCCGTTTTGTCGGTATATTTCAACCCCAACAAGTCTAAAATATAGCTTTGTAGATAGGTCAAAATAATGTCCCTAGGATATCTTGGTAGACGGCCCCTTTTATCTAGTCTCCAGCATCGGGTAACATGTTCGGTAACTTCTATTGTCCTTTTCTTGTAAATGACTTCCTATATGATTTAGCCAAATCTAAACAGTACCGCGATATGTCAAAGTCGATAGATCTATTAGTGCTTGTCTCTTCAGTGGGTTGGTCACGCATACATACATTGGTACTGTCTCATTGACTCAAACTAGTTTCCTTGCATCTACCAATACAACAGTCAAGGACTTGTCGAGCTGATTCCATGTTCTGGTCTGGCTGTTTTTAGTATCCTTTCATCTTGTTCTTACTCCAGTCAACGTAGTTCATCGTGTATGGTAATTGTTAGGACCTATTTAGCACCTGATCAGCCACCTCAGTTGTTAATGACCCGTAACCTTATCTACCGGTATCTTATCTTTGGCTGAGTTCCTACGTTTAATTTCTGCATTGCTCCGTTGTATCACCACACAAGCAATGTTTCGGGGACATCTGTGATCAAATGCTTGCAATCTTTTCATGTCCACTGCCATAGCTTGTTTTATAACTATAGGATAACAGTACAGAGTAATTCAATGAACTCATCTGTTTGCCGGAAAACAGATATGTTGTATTTATCGAAAGTGAAGTAAGTTGGGAAGTGTAGGAGCTTTATAAGTGTGTGGGGAAACCTCGTCATCTATCAACCCACCAGGGCTGACGAAACCCCCGAGATCATCAACGTGATCAAAGCTTTTGACTGCGTTCCCGATATGCATTCTCAGCCAGGCTTTTTATATATTGGGGGGGGGGCAGAAACGTATCATAAACTTGCTTCCACTATTAAACAAAGCGTTTGGGAGATTGGATCTTGTCGTCTTATTCACTGAACTAAACTGTCGTCTACGTACTTCAGAGCAGTGCGCGAGATTCCAGGAAAGGGATCAGTCCCTGAAAAGTTAAATAAGTCAAGTGGGGTTTACAACGAGATATCTGTGACGAAATAAAATGAAACTGAGAACGTTCGACAGTCCTGACATTTTCCAAAAGTTCTGTATCTCTCTTTCAAATGTAGACTAAAATTAGACCTCCACTTCATCTTTTTCCGAAGTCAGTCGTCCGCAACGTGGAAGCTGGCACATGTGCACGTCGGTTCAAGTTGCCATACTTCACTAACACAGATGAAATTTTCAGGGCAAATCTTAGAATATCAGAGGTATTAAAAGCACCAGTGGTAATAGGAAAGATGAAGAACCGAAGATACAATTTGAGAAAAAATCAATCGGTGAAATAATAAAGCAATTTATGGGGAACTCAGAAACTTTAGAAATAGCGTTACTATTGGTTGACTATTTACTACCTGCTTTTTTACCGACCGAAGGTTACTTAGTGTTACCAATATCACTTGCCTTATCCATCTCTTTCACTTTTAATATGCATGACTCATGATCATTGCGTTTACTTTTTCATATGCGTTTAAGTTGTTTATCGTAACCAACAGTCGTAGCCCTTAAAGTCTAATTATTGCACCTACTTCGCAATTACGCAACATATACTGCATCGATCACATGCTCCCAGAGCAGTTGTTACACGCACTTTAAACGTACAACCTAATTTAGATATAACCAACAATGACATGAGAAAAATGCTTAAGTCAAACATCTAGTTTCAGCAATGTTCAGATCAGTAATTATAAGTTCAAATAAGCGAACTATTTGTAACTTTTTCTCGTGGACTACACGTTGATACTTCAGATTGATCACTAAAAATAAATCCGAAATATCCAATAGATTGTAAATAATACTTATATTGCATCCCAATATTGAGTCAGTTACTAATATTTATTTATGACTTATACTACAAGCTGTCCATTGCTACTAAGTTGCTTTATTTTCTTGCCTGTTTTTAACCTAGTCATGTGTTACAACAATTCGGAAAAATATTTTATCGCATATTATTTTATCTTTTATACATTCACTGAAGGACCTTTTATATATGCCACGAAATGTATGTAGGTTTTTTATAAACTTTAATTATACTTTCTTCTTCAGTACTACTAGTACAGTCTACTCTTTGCTTGTGTTTGTTACCCAGACATTCATTTAATTGTCGTCCAATCCATTAGATTCATTTACATTTGAGAGTATCTTCTATCAAACTTTTTTATTATTATGTTATAACACTTGGAGATATACATCACTCAATATATTATCTGTATTCCTATTTTCTGATTAATCCTAACATCAGTCCATGTTTCTGGACCGGGGCCTCCCAGTCATACCTCCCCAACCAAAGTTGCTCTCCCTAGTACCTCCCGTAACCAGGCACGTGATGCTGAGTCTCGCAAGGAGAAAAAAATTGGACACAGACGTGTTACAGAAGAAGGAACTGTCACGTACAAGAAGGTAAGTTACACAAAACTTACTACCACTAGTTCCTTAAATTCATTATTTGAGAATTATTTGACAATTCTCTGTCTTCATTATCAGTGTTTTTTGGTATAGTGGTTTAATCTTTTAGAAATCTAAAAATGAGAGTTTTATTTTAAATGGTTTGTATTTTGTTATCGCCAACTGGACCGAATAAGCGGGTCGTTGTCAGGATCATGGCATAGTGGTTGGAGTAAAGAGAAAACGGTGGACAGGTAGACCTGGATTTATGTATTACTTTTTCGGGAAATAGGGAGTATCGTTATGCCTTCATTACTGAGATCTGTATTCTGATGGTTTATTTTGGCTGTCTTGATTTTCCTAGTCAAAATCTGTTATTGCTTTTGGAATTTAAAGTTTTGCATCGTGAATATATGGATTAGTATGATTTACTGATCAGATCCATGTAGGGCTTGTTAATTTTACTTCTGCTGCAACGTAACAAGCGCATAGATGAGAGCAGTTTTGTTCTGTGCTTGTGAAATCTAATCTCTCTGAATTCAGGATGTTTGGCAATTCCCTGTTTGATCATCGTTGTATACGAAGGATTGTTGACATTCAGTGGTAACACCAGGTTAGTGGTACGGATGTGCGGGAACATGTGCACAAACACAGCGATGATAATTCACTTGGTGTCACCATCTTGAAACACTGACTTCAGTGGCTTGGATATGTACGACGAATGTCGTCCCTGCAAATTCCAAATCGTACATTATTTGTTGACACTGGGATTATTTCGAAAAAGCTGGGAGATGATCAGTTTATGACAATGCTATGGTATGAAAGGAAGCTGTAGAGTACTGGCATCTGTCTGTCATCCACAACTCCCTGGTTGGGGTCCTGAAGATAGTACAACAGTGGGTTGTAACGCTATCAGACATGATTCAGAATAGAAGCCAGTGGTAGTCATGCTGTAACTTTCTTTTACTTCATATAAGTGAACCTGATTAACTCAAAGAAGCTTTACTGGTTGTGTTTTTCTTAACTACTGCCGCTACTTTGTTTGACTCTCACTAACTTATTTTCATTTCTTTTTTTTCACTATACGTTTCTTTATCTCCTTACAATCACATTTTTCTTTTGTGCGGAGCATATGTCTTTTGGTGCTTCTTTATACCAATATTTATGTTTAAACAAGTAAATAAATTCTAATCATTCCGAAAACATGTGAAAAAAGGGAACACGGTTGAAAATTGGTGTTTATAATTTCGATGATATTCTCAGTTGTGTTTTTATACTTGGTTTAATCCTTAATGATGACTTTTGAATTTTTTGCATTGAAATTTGACCAATTTCATGTTACACAATGAAATCATAAAGCGTTTTTATTTTTATCATGAGATGTCACTAATAAGTATCGATTAGAAAAAGATTAACTTGTTTTGCGAGTTGGTCATATGTCCTCTCTAATTTAAATATCGGCTGATGCCAAAGACTATCGAAATATAAATCGAGGGACTACGGCAAAGTCATCACAAAGTCTATGTTTAATTCATTTGTATTGATTATTTGAATCTTCCCATTGATGCGTATTTCTTCGATATTTCTGTAAGTCACAAGCATTATAAGCAGAGATAAATGTTGATTAGCATTGAAATATCGAGACAATCTGTACAGGATCCACATTTGCTAAAAAGAAACTGGTCAATTGCAGTCCCAAACATCAATGGGAAGGTTCAAACAATCAATAAAAATGAATTAAATTCCACCTTATGGCACAAGCCAGTGTCTGTTTGGTCACAGTAGCTATGTGGATAACTTGACGTCCTATGAAACGAACGGAACTGAGCTAGAGTGTCGGAGTGGAAATCAACTCCGGGATGCAGGTGCATCCAGCTGATGAGTTCGAAACATGACGAAACGTGCATCCTGGATTCCACTGCTAGCCACCATTCATCCCGGTTTATAAAGTATTTGTTTCCTAACCAAAACCAGTAAAGTATAATCTAATGAAGTCTACTACTTTGATTTAGATCATCCACCCTGATTATTATTAACTCATTCACCTAGTACATACTCGTGTACTTGATTTCAAGCTACAATTTACGTGTGCTAGTGATTAAACTACTCGGTTGCCTGAACCAAAGTAGGTAAAGTGGAATTCAAACCTGCCGCTACTAGTGATTGTAACTTGAACTCTTCACTCGCTGATAGGCTGCTTAACAAAACAAACAATTTAATTATTGTTCGTTCCCTCTGCTCTTGTTGTTAAGATAAGCTATTTATTAAGATTAGTAGTTTTACAAGAAATTTGTAAGTAAACTAAAACTATAGTACAACAAAATTTCACAATAAACCATCATAACATGATGCTATGACAACAATAACGTGTATTACCCATGCAAATGAATTATGCTTTGTTTTTCCCGTGATTTATATATATATAAGATGCAATAATCATATGCATGTTGCATACAATCAGTTGCCTAATTGGATACTTTTACCTCGTTCCACTGTACTAACTAAATTACATGTTATTCTGTTACTGACACTAAAATGTTAGAAATTGTGAAAATTACCTGATAATATTATTTGTAATATGATGTCGTACTGTAGAAACCTACATCAGAACTTCAAGGAGCTATTCAACTTGGCATACAACATCATATTGGTTCATTACAGCAAAAACCTGATCGTGATCTTTTATACGGAGATTTTAATATTATCGATACGGTTAATTTTCCTCGTGAAGGCACGAAAACAACACAAGCCCATCCATATTCAGATTTCCGATTTAGAATTTATGCTCCTGTGGCTTTTCGATGTTTCCGAAAGTCATATAAATTGGATATTCGTGATTTCTTAGTAAGTCTAATGTTTCCTCTTTTAAAGTGCTATTAATTGCTTGTAAACCAAATTATCTCTAATTATTATGGTATGCATCCAGAATAGGTGGATTGTGGTTTGTATTAGAATATAGAAGGCGTGTTTAATAATGGAATAGTTCTTATACGTTATTTATGTTTATCTTAATGAGGATGAATATATCCAAATTTCACATAACATTATACTATTTGTGAATATAATTTATTTACTAATTACCTGTCTATGTACTCGATCTCGTGTTACATTTAATACTACCCGGATTGTTCAACCTAAAGTAAGCAGAAACGGGTTGAAGAAACCTGTTACCCAATCATTCAAATTCATACGCTTCAATCATTAGGCTATCACTCCACTTTTAATATGGTTTACTTTACAATTGTCAGCAAATCTACAGATGGAAATGATCTGTGAAAATTTCGCCTCACTTGTTATGGAGGGGATTTTTCATTATGAATTAACATCTCGATTGTCAAAATCGATAAGTAGGATGCTAATTGATAGACAAGCGTAATGATGTGATGTGGCCAAATGATGGCGCTTCACTAAAATATGTTATCGATACGAACTCTCGAATAAGTAGAAATCAAAGACAAGAGCACTAGCCAAATGGATAGTTTTTATGAAACAAAATAATATGTTTGTATGCAGAATGTAAACAAAATAAACGTGATAAAATGCCATATGCGGTTGGGGGGAATTAGCTTGTAAGTCATTCATTCTTCAATCTGTTAGGACCTGTCTTTTAGGCTAAATCTTCTTGCGTAACATCAACGGCTGGCTTGCAGCTTATTCTTTCGACCTTGAGTTTGCTTGTTGCTGTCACTTGTTATGTCGTTATCTGCACACTTATTTTGAATGGTTTTCTTTCTAACCGTGTTCGTACTTATGAATCTTCTAATTGGTTAGGTCTCTTTCGATTCGTTTATTGATTGGTGACTGACTTTAGTGACAATGTTTTTAGAAATTCTCTGATTTGGTATTGCCTGTCCAAGACTTGAATATTGCCCAATCGAATGTATATCCACAGTTGTCTACATGATTTATTGATATAAGTGAAATGATATCGTGGGGTTTGACAGATAAATGGTGTTATCATGTGGACATGGATGAAGTGGGCAAATTGACGAAATTCTACTGATTATTTTCGTCCGCATAAGTTTCTGATAGGATTTTCCGCGTCGCTCTTATTAAGCAATATTTACTATCAAGAGATAATGCTTCTCATTCTGTTATTTCATCATAAACACTAGAAGATTTATGAATATAATAATTCCATCCAATTCTCTTTTGCTAGTTATTATATAATCTTACTTTCATCTTTGCGTAGTTTTCACTACCATTGATACAATTTTTTTACTATTTCCACTTGTTTACTTTTCATTTTATTGATCTCATACTATGTTGTTGTTATGGTAACTTGGGCCCGAATGCACATCTATACCTAGTCCTTCATTCAATAATCAAACTGGCTGATTAAATGTATTTAGCTCCCACATGTACAAACAGTACCCATAGTTAATGTAAAAACAATTAGGTTATGCATAAAGTGTTTTCAGAGTGAAAATTCAATGTTCTGTACTTGTGTGCATTCTTTTATTCATATTGTTTTAATTTCTTTCTTTTTTGGACATTTCCTTTTATATTCATCATTTCAAATATCTCTAATCAAAAGTACACAACTAGTGTTTTTTTAAAATATGTACTTTCATAATTTATAATTGAGTATTGACTGTGTAACTCTTTATGTGCGTTCATATACGTGTGTGTGTGTGTGTTCGTTATAGTTGGTGCACAATTTGTTGAAAAAAAATTACGTACACTAAGTTGAGGTTAAATTCGTTATCACTACCGCTAATTATTTTTTGTTTTGGCAAAGTTACACTAAATATTAGTCATCAGTTTGAAATTCATAATCAGCATATTTTTTTGTAGTGTCATAATGTTATTTTTTACATTTAGTAAAGTATCATATATGAATGCAAACTGTTGATCAATAGAGGTATGTGCATGAAGTTTACAGTTTGCGTCCACTGTGTTTGAGCTCGAACTTTTGATTAATGCAGAATAGTTTCAAATCCACAACTTGATTAGAGAGAGAGAATGAGGAATTTGAATTCATTAACTCCTAATAACCAATTGCTTTATTCATTGTTCCAATCCAATATCCCACTTCTCTCAAGTATCTATCAGTTGGGAAGTCACCCATATACGTTCAAACTCAATTCTTCTCTGAGGCCCAGAATTTCATCAACGGATCTGCAACACTTGGGCTTGTACTCGATTCGTTTTATTAATATTGCTAACCTAATAGCTCTATTTTGAATGACATGGCTCAAAATCGTTTGCAATGGCGCAGGTGCATCCACTCTCTGTGTTCTCCCAAATTCTAATCTTCTGAATTCTTCATGTCCCTTTTTTCCTCTTTCCAAATTTATTTCACTGGATTATACTCTTTAAATAACATCTCCAAACCCTAATCTTCCCGATTACTGCTTATACTCTTATTACCTCTACCACTACGGGATTTGAATCGACAACTGCATCTCTGTGCTTATGTGGTGTGGCAACTCGGACTGATGTACGTACGTACGAAGTTCTACGTTGTTACTGACTGACTGACTGACTGACTATTATACACGACCAGTGGTTTGTAGACATCTTGAATCAGATTTACTTGCTTACGCCTGTTACCGATCGTCGAAGAGCATAGGCTGCCCACCAGCATTCTCCATTCAACTTTGTCCTGAACAAACCTTCCCAATTGTTTCCACTTGCTATTCATCCTTTTCAGGTGTGCTTCTGAATCCCGGCTCAGTGTGTTCTTTGATCTCCCTCTTTTCCTTTTTCCTTCGGGATTCCAAGTTAGCGCTTGCTTCGTGGTGCAGTTTGGTGATTCCCCCGATGTATGTACTATGTACCTCCAACGTCTTTTCCTAATTTTCTCTTCAGCTGGAAGCTAGTCTGTTGGTGATGGTATCGGACCAACGGATATCGAGTACCTTGCGTAGACAACTGTTTACAAATACTCGTATCTTTTTGATAATGGTTGTAGTAGTTCTCCAAGTTTAGGCTCCGTACATGTTAGTGGGACATAGATTGGATTAAAGCACGTTCAGTGCGGGATTGTGTTGGTGCACGCTGATTGGCTGTATTTAACCAATCAGCGCTAGTGGATACTTGGAGAAGACTAGAATCTTCTTGTGTAAAAACGATTACTATATTAAGGTCTTTCTTATTGTAATTCCTACTTCCATTTACTCTTGTTATTTGGAATATAATTTCATTCCTGTCCAACCGTGTTCTGATTTGAGGACCTGTCTAGGGAATTGGTGTCCAATAATGCTAAGCAATAGGAATAGCTGGATTGTAATTAGGGAAATTCAAACGGTACAGTAGAACTGTTTTGAAATTTGTATTAAATATTCTGGATTTGATGTTGGCTTACAGATAGTTGTTTTGAGTTCCATATGTTCTTCAACTGTAGGAAAACTGTCTTTACTTTTCTATTCCTTAACTTTACGTCTGCGTCCGGTCTTCTTCGTTGATCGTTAATGCTTCCTAGGTACGTGAAGGTTTCCACATTTTTCGGGGCTTCTCTATCTTAAATCAGATACTACCATTAAACATGCGTCATTTATCTACGAATGTAGTGTTTCACAACCGTTAAGCAAAACCAAGTGACCTGTTTTTGAAGCCTTCTGTCAGATTGATGAGTAGACAGCGATAGGTTGATTTCTAGCGAAAATAGCTTCTTTGTATTCATACCATAATTATTTTTAGCCACGAACTCACTAGAAATTGATAAGACCCAAAGAAAATCAAAATGTTTAATTACTTGAGTTCTTGTCATAGAACTAGACATCAACTTAGATCATAATTATCGTTACTTTTTTGCATTGAAAGTTTTTGTTTTCTTCCATTATTATTTCTGTTACATAGAACTCTTTATGTAGCCAATCACTTCAAGAGCTTTCAAACCCCGGTGCAAGTGGTTCCATTTTTTATATTAGTCAAGATGATGAATTCATCATTAAAACTGTACAACATAAAGAAGGTGAATTTTTACAAAAATTATTACCAGAATATTTTATGAATTTAATGCAACATCCTCGTACTTTATTACCAAAATATTACGGTCTTTATTGTTATCAGGTAAAGTATATTAAATTTATGTAGTAATTGGTTGTTTTGTCCATATATGCATATACTGTAAAATGTACCAAACAGTCCCATTTTTTGTCTTTTATTGTACATATTGAGATTGTTTATCATCATATCTAATTTACAGAATGTTTCCGTTCTGATTGGCATTTATCATTTTTGTTTCTATTTTCTTTGGTAAACCATAAAATCTGTTTCATTTAACAAGATCATTGTTATTATTCTATTCGAATGCATTTTGGAGTTTGAAGATGTATTTATAATTAATTAATGTAACATATTCACACTAAACATGAGTCTATTTACCTGAATTTTGACTACACTAGAGACCAGTGTGATACTAACTGGTTGTCTCAACTAAGGTAGATGTAGCGTGCTTAAAATCTTTACAACTCTCTTGTATCAATAATAATCATGTGCTATCTAGTGACTTATTTTGTGGGTTAATTCCTAGGATTCAAGTAAGAAATTATGATCAGTGGAGTTTATCCATGCTTAATGGGGTCGGTTAGTTGCCCACTGATAAAATATTACATGATAACTGTACAACATTGCGAATTGATTGAGGTAAGAAATGTCAACCAGTTAGACGCTGACTCAGTTGTCTAAAAGTTAAGCACGTGCCACATAACCTGGTAGACCTGTTTAATCTCTGATGGGATCATGCATGCTGATTTATGAAGAGTCCCATACTACGATAAAACAGTTGTCGAGTGTTTCCTGTATAGCAAAGGTCAGTCCGTAATGTGTAAACTGTAGAAATCTTATTCGTTAGTTGGACACCGAGTTCTTTCACCACTTAACTAGAATCTAATGATTCCGTTTTTGTGTTTTTAATTCGTTAATTACGTTATGAATAGTATTCATGATCTACTTCTTAGTGAGAAAGCTTCAAATTTGTATCCACTTTTTACTTTTGTTAATAGGTTGTAGTTATGGCAAACAAAAATGTTATCAGTAACTTTTGCAGTTTTAAATTTCCCCCACTGACCTTTGCTATTATCTTATTGGTTATTTTCACTTTTAATCTGTTATTTTTGTCGTGCCCCAAGGTCACAAGTATCAGTATATAAAAATAGATGCTGTATTATAGTTTTCACTTTGAATATCAAGTATTCCATTTAGTTACTCTATTCTGTCTTCGGTCACATATGGGGATTTTTATTGTTGAGGTGTTATGGAGATTAGTTGTCGAGCTTGTTGGGACCCATCGATTCTGTATGTTCTAAGAAACGCCTTTCAATTGTTCATAATTTTGAATAGTCATGATCTATGTTTATATATAACAAGATAAAAGGGGAATTTTTTCCATACTTCTAACGAGCGACAAATCGATATGTATAGTCTTGAAACAATTTAGAACCGCCACTCACTGGTCTAAATGTCTTATCCTTAGGCTTCAATCCTTTATGTGTATATTGTGGGTAGAACAGATGTTTGTCTGTCTTATAGGGGTGTGTATTGTACTCAGCAGTTCCCTGTCTAACTTAATAGCTGTGGAAATTCCTCTATGAAGATAAAAGTATGCAAAGTTCGCTTTCTATTCGACCAGAAATAGTTCCAAAACACTGTTTGGGTGTACAGTGCAATTATGAAGTAAGAAGTTTTGAAGTGATATACTAGGTAAAGATGGCGAATTGTTTGTGAACTTTCGTCTACTAGATGGGCTAGGATGTGTGACTTTTATTGTTCGAATGTTTGAATGCGAAATTAGTTGCAGTGTCACAGATATATTGATCGTTTACTGTTTTTTTGTAAATCTACGGTTTCAGTATCATTTTTATTTTCTATTTCTCAGTTTTGTTCGTTCCTTTAGAATTATATTTCTTATGTTTGTGTGTCAACTATCATTGTTGCTACTAATATTTTGACTTTTGATCTTGTATTCATTTCTTCTCACTATATTAACTTAGTTTATTATGTATTTCTATCGAGTCCCGTGTGATTTATTCTTGACTGTGAGAACAGTTATCTACCGTATTCATGGTATTAGACATTTGTGTAGCTCTTATTTCTGTACAAAAACTGTATGTGACCACTAGATGAACTGTTGTATGTTTTCCGGTATAATATATGTCTCCAAATTATTTAAATCAATTACATACTAACTTGAAATAATATTCACATTATTTTTCACTTATTTTCATTCATCAATTTAATCAAATATATATAGTCTGGACATAAAAATATTCGATTTGTTGTCATGAATAACCTACTACCTTCTTCCGTACGTATTCATGAAAAATATGATTTAAAAGGATCTACTTATGGTCGCCAGGCCAGTGATGCTGAACGCGCTAAAAGTTCACCAACTCTAAAAGATCTCGATTTTATGTAAGTCGTTTTTGTATTATTCTACTACATTTTTTAATTGAATTAATGTAAAAGTTTTTATCTCATGTTGGTTGGTTCATTTAAACCACCTCTAGTTCATAATTACGTTTGTTGCCATATGACATGGAACTGTAGATAGTTTAAATAACTTTTTTGATTTATGTTTTTATTAGCAAGGTTCTTTCCTACGGATGGGACTACTAACCCCATGCCAAACCCTCCTTCTCCATCCGGGCTTAGGATAGGCAGTAACCCTAGAAAGGCTCCAGGGGGGAAACAAAGGAATTTTAGCATGCTATTCAAGTAGCAAATTTCACGGGAGGGTAGTGGGTGTTAACTTCATAAACCTTATTTATGTACTCGTTATTTTCTAATTTCTCTCTTTGTAAGTTTGAATTTCCGATCTTCACTCCGAAACTTTTAGTGGGATCTATACTTCATTTTTACTGGCATTTAGAAACACTAGTTCTCTATTGGTTAGTGGCATCTTTAGTACGTTAAATATGTGGCTTTCAACATCCTTCCATAGATTTTTATTCGCGCATATTGTTTGATAAACTCAATGGTTAGTTTCTATCAGTAAATCTCACTTTCGAAATCTGAGTAACTGAAGCCAAACAAGAAAGGGGAATCGTGGTATCCATATCAAAGCTAGAAGTTATCACTCACTAGTTTTCTCCTTTGACAAAGCTACGTAACATTGCTGGTAACAACGTTTGTCTTAATTACTCACTAATTTATTGTTGTTCTGATTCTGGCTTTTCAAAGTTTTGGTACATTAAGTTTGGCCAATAGTATATATCCCCGCCGAGCAAATAAGAGATGTTTAATTATCAATCAATTAGTCACTGATTGACATCTAAAGCGGGGTATGGTTTGGGTCACTCTAAGAAATGTATATATACCCAATGTTCATTTTATGTGAAACTATCAAGTTCAATCTTTGTATTGATACCTATATTATTATTATTATTATTATTATTATTATTATTATTATTATTATTATTATTATTATTATTATTATTATTATTATTACTTTACGCCCCAAATCGCTGTTTGGTTAGGAAGAAAAACATACCATTTGTTTTTAACCTCTTCTACCATCGGTTTCTTAGCCTTCATTATCACATTTATTGAACTATTTTATATTATCACCATTTAGAGGTTGCGTTAATTGTATTTTCTTTTGATTCTGTGAGGTAGTCCTTTTTATCAAAGCATTGGAAATTCTCCAAAGGCTTTTCAGAAACCTTTTTCATTTCTTTTTGAGATCCTCTATATTTAAAGTGTCGTCGTATAATAGTTGTTTTGTTTAAAATAACCATAACAAACATTTCCTCGCGTTGGTATTATATCGTGGTCGTTTCCTGCCAAGAAGCAATATTTGGACTAACTGTCGCATTTTTCTCTTAATTGTGGAATTGGGGTTTTGTGAAAATTATTGAATTTTATGGTTTATATTGCTGATCGACTGTAGCCAGACAACCATTAAAAACCAAAAAGCGACCTTAACGGTAGTCATTATAATAGCTCTACTTACCTCTTCTCTAACAATCTGTTGTTGCTAAATGGTTCCAATTTTAACTGAAATTCGCCTACTTTAATAACTATCGGTCAAGTAACTCATTACTGAACTATGGGTTTATTTACCTGGCTTTGAGTTACATGTTTTCTTCTTCTGTGAGGGCTCGTTATTCTATGGGGTTACGAAAACGAACGTAAATGGGGCAATGTTAGGATCTATGACCTATTTCGTTTGAAAGCCAAGTGTTTTTAATCATTCGGCTACCACTTCGCTATCAACACAGACTGATTGAGTCGCTTTCGGTTACTGTGGTTTGATTAAATGAGTTGAGCATAAATTGATTAACTTTAATGTTGAACAAGCTAAATTTTTATGTCCACTTTCGGAGTAGATTTTCTTACCGTCAATTTTGGATCGTAATAGAATTTGAAATACTGAATAATTCCTTTTACATGTGTCTGTTCACGCTTAAAAGAAAATAGCATAGGACTGATCTAAAAACTATTTTGGCTGATTTTGGTTGGAAATAGTTTTCGTTGATTCAGTCATACACATTTATAGTATTATTATTATTATTATTATTATTATTATTATTATTATTATTACTAATAGTAATAATAATAACAGTAATAATGCACGTTCGCACAGATACTTATCGTTAAAATGTAAACATAAAGTTTTTGTTTTGATGGTAAATACCTTATACACGATAACATAGACACTGTATTTATATTTAGTAGTAATAATGTATGCATCTTGAAATGCTAGTTGTTAAACAACTTCTTTTCTCCATATTATTATCAGAAGTGTATTACACTTGCTTAACCACTACGTACGTCGATGAGCGATGTTCTACTGTTATAGAAGTAAGTTGAAATAAAGCTGGAGGCGGTTGAATCAAGACTTGGAAGCAGTCTGAAGTCACTGACTGTTGGTAGAAGCAGACTATCAGGTCGGGGTTCGTGTGGTTGGATACGTTGGATGGCATGGCTCAGAATCATTCACAACGGCTCAGTTACATTTACTCCTTTTTTTCTAGATCTTCAGTCTCACTCTTCTATTATTTATGCCTTCTCATTATGTCTTTTCTTACCGTATTCTTAATGTTTAGTCTTTCACATTTTCATCGCTGTTATGTTATTTCAACTTTTTTACTATTCATCTTGTTAATTTCATTTGATTTCTCTTAAGTTATCTGGCAACTTTGTCCAACGCACATTTGTGTCAGAATCTATAACTGACTAATATCAAATGTCGTAAGCACTTCAATAGTTATTTGTAATTTCATTCATTTATTGAACCCGTTGCTGCATTACTTAAAACAAACCTCATTCAATCGGAAGTAAGTTATTAGGAATAGCATGTCATCCATGTTAGCCAACGTGGGTTATGATAAACGCTTAGTGGAAAGATATAAGTTTAACATAATAGCAACGGTTTGGTAAGAGGCATATAAGTTTATTCTAATTTCTATATGAATGATGCAACCAAACTACTGCATCATCACATCAGTTTACTATTTATTGAACCAATTGTAATAACATATTTATGTAAATATATACATTTCGAAATATGTATTTAAATAATCAAAATCCATCGTTGTGTCACTATTCTCTGGTACAAAATGGACGTTTTCCCACGAAACCATTCTTATTTCGTCATTTCTTTCACTCTTCATCCTGTACACTGTGTACTTCAGTTTAGTTTTATAGTTTATAAATGTTAATTGATTTTAGATACCATCGATGTAAGTTGTTTAAATCCTTCTTTTTTCAAATTGTATTAAGGTACGTGTTGGTATCTGAGTTATTTTACTACAGAATAACCAGTGTTATATTCTAATATTCTTCGTTTGTCCATATCTGTAAAAATGAATATCTTTGAATTTTCTTCAAATTAATTCTTTATTAGTGAGAATCATCCAGATGGAATCTGGTTAGAGGCAGAAACCTATGATGCTTTGCTCAAAACGATAGAAAGGGATTGTCTCGTAAGTTATTAGATGTTTCCCACTAAATTTAGAAAAAAAAAATAATTTCTAGGAAGTTTTCTGGATTTCATATTCTGTATTAGTTGTACTGGTTACATATTATTCCTCATCATTTTTTATTTGTATCCTCCCAATCAGTGTCATCCTAATAACCAATAATAATAATAATAATCTGAAGCATCGTAGTGAATTGAAATCTTAATTCCAAGCATCTTCAGGTGTCATGCATGACACCTAAATGTAATTAGTATTGTTTTTTATTCTCTGACGTGAATAATTTAATCATAAATCTTTTATTGTAATTCTATACAACATCAGCGCAAACTTGAGGTACAAGTGAAGCTTTTAAATCCCTCAAAATATGAGTGACAGCTCGTCCTGTAAACCTTGATTTTGACTGGTTATTGTCGACCTTTAACGTGTTAGTCAGCTACAACGTAGGACCAGGCATAAACATGCATCGGTCAAGTTGCCACACCTCATTAGCACAACAAGACGAACACCGGATTGATAGTAGCAGTTAACTCAATGGTGTAATATATAAAAGAAAGATTGCACATAAGGAAGAAGGAATTAGTTCGCAGAAAGAGAGATATGAAATAATTTTAATCTCATGGTTTAAAGGACGACAAAGAGTGTATACACCGACGCCATTGTGATCGGTTCTGAGCCATGTCACCCAGAGTCTCCAACCATTGATTACGATAGTCACACGGACCCCAACCAAATAGTCTGCATCTACCAACATGGCTAAGACTAGGAGTTAGTGACTTCAAACACTGATGCCACGTTTTAATTTGGCCGACCCTAACTTTCTTCCAACCATTCCCAATACTAGCCAGCATTGCGTGTCGTGGTAATCGGTGCTCAGGCATACATAACACGTGGCCCAGCCATCTCAGTCGATGAAGACTTAAAACCTCATCTACTGATTTATCATCACTTCTTAATACTTTCTGTTTAACCTCACTATTACTTACCCCGTGATCTCAGCAGATGCGAGCAATATTTCTGAGACATCTGCGGTCAAATACTACCAACTTACGAGTATCTTCTACTCTTGATGGCCACGTTTCGCGGCCGTAAAGTAGAACAGAACGAACTGCCGCACAGTATACTCGCCCCTTAATTGATAGACGGGTATCTCGCCTTCGCTATAGGTGACGTAATTTGGCAAAAGCCAAACGAGCTTTTCGAATGCATGCAGAGATTTCGTCAGACACCAACCCATTAGGGTTGATCAGACTTCCAAGATAAGTGAAGTTGTCGACGCGTTCGACTACTTCAGACCCTATCCTTTAGTTCAGGTGTTGACGCAGACCAGTCCTGAAGCAACAATTTGCATTTAGAGGAGGAGAAGCGCAGCCCAACTATTCTGGCATTGTTGCTCAGTGCTATCAAAAGACACTGCATTTTATCAGCGTTTTCACCAAACAGTACTATATCATCTGCGTATTATATAAAAGGAAGTCGATAACGTCTTCAAGTACCAAAATAAATTACATAATGGACCAAACAGATTACATATAGAAGACTATTATGAACGTGAAGAATATGAAGAACGTGTTGATAAATTCTTTGAAACTATCGCATATAAGTAGGAAGTTGTGTAACAATCTGGTGATTTGTTTGAAAAGAAATTCTCTAAGATATTCTGAAGAAGAGAGATGAATATGAAGAACATAATAAATAAATGTTTCAATAATAGCTAATTAATAACTTTGAAAATATGAAGAAGGGATAATGAAACTAGATAAATGAATATGGAAGATAGATCAGAGTAACATAAAAAACTGGACGTGTTACTCCTTTATACAGAGATTGGCCTGAAATCTGTGGATTGCTAAATCCCTACTGTACATAAGCTTCTGATTTGTAGACGGTTTGAACCACTTCATTTGAATTCATTTGAAAGATGATTTAGGTGTAATGACGTGATCAGTGTTTACAAGATCTTCAAGATTTTAATAACAGACTAACTTCAGTATTCCTTCAGAGAACCAAGCAGAGTAATGAGAGAAAATGGATTTCACGAGTAAATGAACTTGTGTATGTACATTGATGTGGTTTGAAGCGGAAGCTTAAACTTCATACATTCGAGAATTAAAGGATGACTGTAGAAGATAATGTAGTCTCATGCAGAATAAAGTGTTTTCTTCAAAGATGTTGAGAGTCTATTGTTCAAGATTTCTGTCACTAAATCCCCTTTAAAATTAATGTTCATATAAAATATTTTGTTTTGAGCTGCGGACATTTCACCAATTTCGTCTTAAGGTTTCTGTCGATGAATTTAACTGGATATCCATTATTGATTAATATGTCTTATTTTATCTATTTCAATGTTTAATATGTTATCGGTGTAAATTCTTTCGCCCACAGCATATAGAGATTGAATGAAGTCTCTCTTGACGCTCAGTGGGACAGAGGTTTGAAAATGCACATACCGATTGTCTTAGGTTGGGTTTCTGCATAATGATTTATGCAGCGAACTATCCAGTGTTCGTTTTAACAGGATACCCAAGAAATGGAGTACAGAGTTTAAATATGATTCTGTTATAAGCTTGATTGGTTGGTGGCAGATGTTGGACTCATGCAAGATGTCATTGAGTTCTATATTTTCTTCACAAATCTTTATAGAATGGTAGTTTGATGATCACATCATTCAATTTTCAACTAAAGGTTCCTTTGCTTTGAACCGTTGGATGTTGGCTCAATTGTGTAGAGGTTAAACGTTTTCGCACGAGACAGAAGGTCCTGGATTTGAACAACATGTGCTGAATCATGGATATGCGTTGCTGAAGTGTTCCATACTAGAACAAAACGGCCGTTCAATACTTACAGGTTTTCAATGGTAGTCTAACATTGATCGGTTCACTATTCCAATAAGAAAATTTTATTCACACTATTTCATCATAGCAGTTCAAAATTTTAGGACAAATGAAATCAGTTAATCATTCACGTTTTGTGGGTTTTTTCTCAGATTGATTTTTTACTTCGTAAATCTTGACCGATCTCAAGAATCAGTTCATAACAATTTTTTATAGAATTGAACTCATATAAATGTCCTTATCACGAGTTCTTTTTATTTTTGAATGAGTTCATCTCTTTTACGAATTATCGTATCTTCTTTCTCTCTTCCAATTGAAGGTACTCAAGTCTTTTAGAATTATGGACTACTCCCTTCTTTTAGGTATACACAATTTGGATCAAGCTAAACGTGAACGAGTAAGTGAGATACTTTTTTTGTTTTTATTACCGTATTATTCCCTGGTTTACTGAATTTTACTTCTACTAACCACCTATTTCTAATTTTCTTGTGTTCATTTATAAAACACAGTAACATCGCTAAGTTTGTATATTATCCCATGTATATGATAGTTATTATTCTGTAGTGCGAATTTATCGACGATTCCAAATGTTCATTTTTCACTGTTTAAAACTTCTAAAAATAAACTACCGGATGCGGGTTCAGTGGTGTAAACACTGAGTTCTCACTGCAGTGAGCATGGATGCGCACTCATGAGGATTGTTTCCATACCATGACGAAATATCTATCCATTGCCACTTGGTTATCAATAGTTGTTTGGTTAAAATAAATCCTTGATTTTAACATTGCGAGATCACAAATATGATCAAAAGATTTCAGTGTAGTAAATCGATTGAGCTCAAGTTTAGAAATTAAGATGCTAAGCTGGTTTGACTTGTATTTGAGACAGAATTATGTCTCGAAATAGTGATACTATGTAAACAACCAGAATTCATAGTTGAAAATTTTAAATGATCCCATTTGGTCTTTATTATGTTACGCAGTCGTCTGACTCTGACTTAAACTTTAAATTGCTGATAGAATAAAAAAATACTGAATCTAATAGTAGGCTTTATTGGCTAACTGAATGGAAATATGTGCACAATTTCATTTTTAAATATGAATGTATGTTTCTCAGATAATTCGACTGAATTTCAACCAATAAAGTATACCTGTATCCCTCGAAAGCTGAGCGAAATACCGACTAATATCGAGCTCCTATCATTCGACCTTGAACTGGCATGTAATATGTCTGATTAGCCCAGAGTATTATTTTCTGTCTCCACATATTTATTTTACTAGGTATCCAATTCTATCTTTTTCAATTTTGTCTATTATACTTTTTACTGTCTTCTTGTGGAAATATCTGTAATTTTGTGATTCAACTAATGACTTACACATATTTGCACAAACCATCCTAATATATTCCGATTAGTACACTATGAACAGTTTGATATATTATCACATACATTTCGTTTAATCACCACGCAGATATCACAATTATTGAGTTGTATTGTAACCTTTTGATAATCGAAACAATTCCATGTGAATTGACTATTTACTTATTTAGATTAAAATTTCTATCTCTTTAACATGAATTCAACAAATCAGCTGTTGATAATAAAATCTTCCGACAATTTGTAAATTGTTTTTTATCAAATTCTATAAACATGTGATACATCGGGTACCATTACAGTTTAGAATGGGGTTATTTCTATGTTTTTTTTCTCATCATCTATATGTATATATGCATCAAATAACCAACCAAAGTATAGAATTATTTCACAGTAATATTTGTATGTGCATACTATTCACATTATTTGCATTTGTTGTAGAAAATAGGTCCTTTCATGTCATAAATTACAGTTCAATACATACCTCTTTTTTGTTAGTTTTCGAATATTAATTATTTGTTTCAATCAATTTGGTCGGTTTACGCCGTCTAAAGTCTGTGTTTATTTTACTAACCTCATTTTGGTTTTCACTACTTTTTTTCTTCCTCTTGTCTTACTTCCTCTTTTCTTGTTGCTGTTATCATGCCAAGATTTATTATTGTCTTTCTCTGATTGGTGCTTAGTTCTATTTTTATTGATCTAGTTAGATCAAATAGATTGATAGAGGGATGTGACGAAAAATGAAATTAATTTTTACGTTACTCCTCAGTTGCTATAAAATAATAGTAAAGCATTTTTATCAATTACTACAAAAATGCTTTAACTCTCTTCTAAGTACATTTTAGTATATAGTGAAAGGGGGGAGTGGGCTAACATGTAATTTTACTCATTATTTTTCTCGTCCTTTATAAAAAGGTAAGTTTTAGGACACCGATAATTTTACCTTTTCTCAGTTGGTAATGATATTGTGGAAGTACTAGTGGTCTATTGTACACTTGATATGGAGGATATTCGTAGGTTACTGGTATTCAAGCAATGCCTGGGTTAGTAATAGAGTACTAGGTAAGGATGGTAAATCGACTGATGAGGTAGTAAATGCTCATCACCGCCTACCTTGACGGGCGGTTTTCTGTTGTAGGAGTAGGCTTGTTGGGGACGTTAGATCCCCAGAACTCACTTGGGAAAGGACCTAGTTTTGTAATTTTAGAAAATTTGAATTTTGTTTTCACGCCAAAAGCGCTCTTGTCACCTTCATGTCGTATTTCCCACTGGGAAACATCTTAAATGCTATTGGTCCGTTGCGTCTTTTAGTATGCTATTTGGTAACTCTCCCCAAGGACGGTTTTGTATTGTATATATACGTTTTGAATTGTGTTGTTATCGGTCGTTTCTGGCTGTTTGCAGAATATACTTCTCCATTCCAAGCTTGGACTTCTTCCTTTTGTTAGCGGGGCTGGGACGCATTAAATAGCTAGCTTACTGGTCTTTGGTCATCGAGTCTTTGTTCTCGTTCGCAGATTAAGTGAACTCGTTATAGCTTCAACCATAGAAAGGCTAGAATAAAGCTAGGAGCGGCCAAACTAAGACATAGCATCAGTCCATGAAATTATTGTAAATTGGACTTAGGTATATTAGTTGGTATGGACCACCTGGGGTCCACGTGATCAACGTAACCAATGGTTAGAGACGTGACATGGTTCAAAATCGTTTGCAATGATGCACATGCATCCATTCTTTTCTTCACCCTCTTTCTGAGATTCTGAATTCGGCTTAACTTTTTTTATTTCACTAATTCATCTTTTCTTGAATCGTATCTTTTATGCCTAATCTTTTCTATTACTACTAACATTATTACTACCTCAAGTATTCTGAGATTTGGCTTAACAATTTCATCTCTCTGTGCTAACTGTGTATGCCAACTTGGACCGATGCACATAAATGTCAGGTTCTACGTTGTAACTAATTGACCGTTTGGTGATAGACACAACGCTGATTATTGGATAATTTTGATATTTCAGATTAATTATTTTCACTTGGTTAATTCCTTCGGAAATAAAATATTATTTCGTACATCCTGATCTGTTGTTAAATTTAATCAAAGCAAGGAGGACAAGATTTGTAGAATAACACGAATTCATTGTGTTTCAAGGCTTCGCATCAGCTAAAAACAGCCTAAATTTATATTTGTATTGTTCTAAAAAGTTTTACTATAATCAATGAAGTTTAATTTGAAACCTGAGAAACAACTAGAAAAAATAACATATTTAACGTCATAATTCAGATCGATCAGTGTCTCTAGCTAGATGTAACCCCATCCAATTGTTAATGTTCACACTAAGATTGGAATCCTGTACCATTTCATGTTATTTACAGAGGTGAATGGCTCTTACAGTTCGCCTATTTTTAGATATTCGTCCAATCCTGTAATTTTCACTATGAACTGACGTAAACCAGACAGTATTAAATTGTGATCATGGTTTGTCGGGAAAATTAACTGAAGCTAAAAATGTTGACCATTATTTCCCTATTCAATAGTCTAAAAATACCACAATGATATCAAGATTTAAGAGCAACGCGGTTTATGATTAATTAACTGAGTTCAACAATATATATGGCTTCACACTAATGTTCGTCAAATTCAGTATTTTTCATTTTAGACGCTCAATGAGTTTATCCACTGAGCTACTGTTTGGAAATAGCTTATTATCATTACTCTTTAAACACTAAATTGTGATTACATGTTTATGTATAAATTCCTTCCAATTTTCTTTTTTTTGCTTTCATATCATTTAGCTCGCTCAAAAACATGCATCTGAAAAACAATCTAGTGTAAATGAACATGGTAGGTGTTTATTGTTTACTACATAAGGTCTAAATTAATTGAACAATTTATACATTATCCTATGTAATGAATAATGGTAGGTGATAATTATGTTGGCAAATGAATTCAAAATTTTTCAGTGGAATGTTCCGCTTTATATGGACCTTATTTAAATTAATGAATATCCTACTCCGGTTAAACACTTATTTTCTACCGTTTGAGCTGCATAAATTCAATGCTACTCAATGTATCTCGAAATGACTTTGTGGTTTGGTCACTGAATTATATCGCCTATAGCAATCGATGTCGCTAATTGAATTCACGTTCTCCCAGCTGTGATCATCATCATCTCTACGAATTATTTTAGATTTTTCAAAGACATTTCGGACTTAGCGGTTTATGTGATTTTTAATTTTTGGTTCTCAGCAACGAGACTCACCAGTTTATCAGCCGTGTTAACTTGCTGAAATAATTTGAATGCATTTGTAATTTACATATTACGACTGAAAAATAACTACTTTAACTTCATGCATGGAGAGAGAATGAAAACATTTATGTTCGATGAAGGCTTTTAAAAAAATTGATTAAGGATCTGGTTTTGAATAATTAGTAACATTTTTGTCACCGGTTAATCAATAAGTAACTGAATGAACACAATTTACAAATATTGTAAGATTAAACCGACTTATTGAGTTTTATACTTCTTAACATCTCCTGTTTCAGTTTTAGTATGAGATAACTGTGATACAGGGATTGATAAGTCTTCTAATTAAGCGCTAGATTCGGTTTCTTAAGTTCTCTAGTAACCCCCAGGCTAAATCTACACAGCAACTTGAACGCTAGAGAAAAGGCGCGGAATAAGGAAGAAAACACTTAACTTCAAAGGTTCATTGATGTACAGAAAATCTAAGGTTCTTATGGCATTTTAAATGGCCTCGGGCTTCCGGAAAATTCTGGAACACGCTACTAAACATAGTAGTAGTATAGGTAATCATCCAATCAGAAACACGACGTGACTTTTCTTTTTGTAGAAGTTTCTGGCAAAACTTCTGTTAAGTGCTGATTGGATAAGATGCTTCTCAGCGTTTTCAGAACCTATTTTTGGATTTTTTTCGAGGAGTTTTCCTAAGTGCCCGGGAACTATAAAGGTTGGAAGGAGTTCAATCTCTTGTCTTTCACTTGAATAACTTTCGTACAATCGCGCGTTTGTGTCCTCCTTCGCAGAAGTTCAACTCACTGTTTTAAGAAAGCTGGAGTGGGTTTTCATGTACTTAGCACATACGTTTATTACATAGTATTCAATTTGGCGTACCTACTTTAACCTAAGGATTAATGTATTGAATATTTTGATCAGTTCAATAATAATTCACACATAAATTTAATAGCATTGCTTCTCTAGTAGATAAATAAATAAAAATGATACATGAATATAGTACCATACAATAGATTTCTTTGTTTATGTTCGATACATTTCCTAACATGTATTGACAATGCACTTGAGTTTCAAGTGGTTTAAACTATATTGTGCATTAATACTGATGCAGTTTAATCTCAATATATGTACATATATATATTCTTTACTATAAACAGGTGATGAGTCGTCTGACTTATCTCCGAATTCAATTCCAAAAATTAAATCCAACGGATTAGTATCACATATTTCTAATAAGAGTAATGGCAATAACACTGATCGGTCTACTTCACCATCAAATGGTGTAGGTATTGGTGGACTTATAGGTGCTGTCAATGAGAGCAGTAATAAAACATCACCATCTTCTCCAAATGGTTCACAATTACCTACACGTCATGCTCATTTCACATCTGGTGTTGATGATGAAATAAAAACACCAAGTGATCATATTACTAACAATGATGAAGAGGATAAATCGGTGTTTCAACGCGGCGTACATAAATCACATTCACAAAAACGTGTTGTTGCTTATTGTACTGCTATGGAATCCATTAAAGCAAGCTCAGAACCGGTTGAATTGGAATCAGAAGAACGTGAACTTATTCCGTATGTTTGACTATCAATTTTTGATTTTACTCTTTTTCCTTTGCTTTTTTGGCTCCCCATTAGAGGGAAATGAAATGTGGAAATTATTTAAAAAGGTATCGTTTGCCAACAAATGTAGTCTAGTGTTTCTTACTTGAAAAATAATAGATGTATGTTTCAAACAGTTCCTATAATTTACAGTAAGTGTTTCCTTTGGATATTTTTCGATTAAAAACTCGTGGTTTTTGGTAGTTTTGGTTTCTGGCAATAAGATAGAGCATTACTCTCATCTACTTACTTATACTTGTAACCCCTCGCGGAGCATAGACCTTTCGACCAAGATTCTCCAACTATGTCCTGGTCTCTCCTTTCCAGTTGTTCTGAATCACTATTCATTCTTTCTATACTCTCCTCCAATTTCCGATGCAATGTGTTCTTGGATCTTCATCTTTTCCTTTTTCCTACAAGATTCCAAGCGAGGGGTTTCCTCGTGATGCAGTTTGATGATTTTCACAATATATGTCCAGTCCACCTCCAGCGTCTGTATCCAAATTTCTCTTCAACTTGAAGTTGGTTTGTTCTCTGCCACAGGAAGTTGCTGCTGATGGTATCTTGCAAACGAATCTTAAGTATCTTGTATAGACAACTGTTCCCACTGAAGTACCTATATTTTTCTGATGATGGTTATAGTAGTTCTCAGTTTCAACTCCGCCAAGGAGGACTATATTGACGTTCGTACTGAAGATTCTGACTTGTATGTTGACTTACAGTTGTTTTGAGTTCCATATGCTCGTCAATCGTAGGAACCCTGCTCTTATTTTCTTTACACTGGCACCATCTTGTACTTAATCACGGTTTTTTTCACAACATATACTAGCCACTGACTTGGACACTGAAGACGTGGCCGGTTGTTTACTTCATTTTATTGCTACTACTCATAAGTAATCAAATCATGCAGATCGATATATTTTCAGCTCTCATTTTAGTTGCATTAGCTATTAGTCATTATCATAACACTTTTCTTTATTACCAGTTCCCTATGAAAAAATGTTGAATATTGTAGAAATCATTGTGTGTGTTTAATTGAATTGTGTAAATCTGCGTACATAATTTATATTCAACTGTTTTCACTCAGCATTGTAATTAGTCATTAAACTACTATTAATAATGTCAGTAGGTTGTCTATCACAAGTTAATCTCTTTTGTGAGATCAATGGAAGCCAAGAAGCACTGAACAGCTCTTTCTTTCCAGTATTGATCTCCTAAGTAATGAAAACCCACGACCTCCAAAGATCAAACCTAGGACCTTCGGATCTTATGGCGAACGCTTAACCCTTAGAGCAGTGTGTTAGCATTCAGGGGTACAATCTCACTTTCAGTCACGATATAAATTGATGATGGTCTTATGTCAAACATAAGTTTTTCTTTTAACACGTTTGGATTCCAGCGCTCACAATTTTTTACTGGAATTTCTGGAATATCAATTATAAGCTGTTCATCATATTTAGTCAGTTAATAATATAAAGCGCCAAATCAAATTTACTTTTTTTGAATTAATGATAAAAATTACTTATATCAGCTTCCTTTTCGTAACAGATAGACACCGTTTTATGTATGTTTGTGTTTTCTACCGGTTTATACTTGCAAATTGTTTGATAATTGCGTAGCTTATTAGTTTTCTACAACACGCATAAATCGTATTGAATACATCATCTCTCTCTTTCGTTTATTTTTAAACCTCATTCCTTGTCAACGAAATCTATTCAATATTCGGAACTAGTCGATACATTAGTTGCCATCTATCATCTATCTGATTTTTCTTGTAACATGAAAAAGATCAATCCAAACCTTGTAGAAAGAGAAACACTGAAGTTATACTTAAATAAATGTGTGCATTCTTCGTTACTCACGTATGTATGTATATGTTTCATTGAAAAAGTTAACATGAAACTGTTTTGCAATGATATTTCTCAGGTATCATCTTATTATCATTGTACATCTTTTATATTTTGACTAAAATTCCGTTAGATCTGGAGGTATTCCCGCACGTGATACTAACGGTGATAGATTGTTGTTGTATATTGGTGTTATTGATATTTTACAAAGTTATCGAATTTTAAAGAAAATGGAACATGGTTTCAAATCTTTGGTAGCTGATGGAGTAAGTACTATGAATTTTATATCTATTCTGGGTTGTATGCATTCTTCACTGTTGGTTTCACATTTGAATAATATCGTTAGGATAATCAGTTGTTATGTTTAGAAGAAAAACTTGATTTCTTAATAATTCTTGTTAGTATTTCTATTTTTAAGTTTTCATTCAATTTTTCATCTCTCATTACTGATTGTTAAAGCGTTTGTTTAAATTGAGAGATGATGGGGAATAGTTATAGCTCAGGACTAGGATGTTGAAATTTTGAAATCTCGGAGTCGGATGGTTTCATTTTGAAGCTTTCTTTGTTCATTTCACTGTGCTAATGGATTATAGTAACTTAAACCGATGTACACACTGAATTCTACGTTGTATTTGACCTTCGAAAGTTTGCTTGAATTGTTATGTTGATTTCGACTTTTTACAAAATTATGAGGTAGTAATCAACACTACCAGTTGTGTTTTTTGTGTTCGTACATTAGATTTCTTACGCTATCACATTAAACCAGAGACAGATAAGGTGAATATACGGGTTTAACATCCTGACTATTCACAAGCCGTTATGCTTTGTACTTAATACCTTATTCGATAGACATTCAACTCGTGAATTCGGAGAGTTAGATTCTATTTTTTTAGTTTAATAACGACATCAGATTTATCAAAAAGGTAGTACGATCGTGTTAGCTAACACAATCTAAACGTTCATTGTATTATATAACAGAAGGAGATCAATCTTGATGGTTTGATTAAACTCCAATTCGATGATATATGATCAAAAACTTGCGTATAGAAAGCTAACTTCGCTATGGAACTTTTCTTTCTTTCTTTGATTCTACTGTTGTATGTGATGTTTTTTCATCGAGAAAGCCGTTCATTTGTTCTTTAAATTTGCAGTAAAAGCCTATTTCATTATCTTCACTTCGTATAACATCGAGTGGTACATGCTTCCGGGATGGATTAGAGAATTTATGCCAAGATTTCATCGAATACCAGTTCATTGGGACAAATTAGGCCTCTATGATAATCAGCTTGTCAAAAGTGTATCAAGACCAGACTATAATTTATGGACGAACCGATCAGATTCATATTATCAGGTATTGGGTTTCTGCACGAGATTTGCTCATCCATATGCCTAGATAACTTTTTGGCATTTTAGCTGATATCAGTTTGTGATGAAGACCCCAAATCTAATTCCTAACATCAACTGTCAACTGTAGTTCATATACCTAATTCCTCACACTGGTTTATAACCCTCATTTAGACGTAGTATGTAGGTGGACGTTCTCAAGGTCATTATCGTCTTTCAAAGGTCGTTCATAAATTATAGTCCCCCCTGTATCAGTTATCTATATTTCCAGTTGGTCTTAACTATCTCTCTTATTTTCTCATTTTTATTGTTCAATTACTAGAAAACTATTTCTGTCACACATCCGTTATATTATGCTCAACGTTTTCAAGAGTTTATTGGTCGTACAGTTTTCAAACGTATACAGTCTCGTAAGTTCTTACACGTAAATTGTTATTTTTTTATTGAACAGTTCCTTATCAAATAAATCTTTGTAATCTTATTTTGAAGTTGACATTATTATTTTTTAGGAAGGGAAGCTTTAGGTGAACAGGTTTTTTTTGTTCGGAAGTCGAACAGTTGAACTTTGTGTATTTATCCACTTATCAGTATTGTATAGAAGAACAAGTAAAGCATTTAACTACATAATGCAATTGTTAATCATTAAATCTTTCCGAATATGTTTATTTTGGAGCGCCGGACATTCGCTTTTTTCCTCTCAATTTGGTAAACATCACTCCCACCACAAGGAGGCAGTGAATAAGACTTCTCTGTTAGTGGCTGTAAACGTGTAGCCATGTGAGAGCATTTGGAGAGGGAGAGCTGACTCTCCCCACCTTCAGCCCTTCAACTGTGTACATTTAAAGTTATTTGAATTTGATAAGTTGATTTTCAACTTTAAATGTTACATGAAATATCTTATGTTCTACTAATTAGTCATGGTGATTATTTGATTATATGCAGAAAATGTTCTTTGGAAAACCTACGATCAATATATTTTTCTACCGACACCTTCAGTTTATGTGTTTCCAGGTGTACTGTACCTAAAAGCTAAAACAACTGTACCGTGCTCCTTGATTCTCAACTTTTATCTAACCATAAACAATCGATGAAGTAAATTACAAAAGTATTAACACTTGAAATAAAAAAAGAATTTCAGAGTTTTAAGGTATTTCTTTTAGCAAATAATTGTAATTATGTTTGTTTTGTTATATAAATATCAAGATATTCAAAAAATAATACAACAGAACGTTTTTTTTAAAGATTAGAGAATAGTCAGACTCATTAAATTATAATCATAATTAGAAACTTCACTCTATCTAGGTTAGTTACTGATTCTTGTTAAATACAAAATTCAGGTTCGTTGTAATTAACCAACATTGACTCTATCTACTACATATGTACATCAGTCCAATTTGCCACATCATATTAACACAATAAGATCAGATTATCAAAATGAATATCAAATTAATAGAATTATTTGCGATGGTATGGAAAATATTATGTACAAATATGATTCAAAGAGAATGATTTTCCTGTTCTTTTCATCATTTTATGTAATCAAATGGAATTACGATATTTATTACTCCCAAATGCCCTAGTACGGCTGAGAGTGGTGAGAGTTCGCTTCCCCTCTCGAAATGCTCTCACTTGGCTACGTGTATACAGCCTCTGCCAGGGAAGTCCTACTCACTGCCTTCTCGTGGCGGGTGTGTTTACGAAAATGAGAGAACGAAAAGCGAATGTCTGGCGCTTTAACCAGCTTCCAAACCAATGGTGCACATGGGCTCCAGTATCCTGCGGGAACAAATGGCGTATGAGCCAATCGTTGGTCACCGGCTTCCATGAGACTACATCTCCTGATGATGCTCCACTGCCTTGTGGATCATACCTTCAGGTCGAAGGCTCGGGGAGTGGCCCCCTAAGAAAACCTCCTGCTTCGGTCTGGGCACCCAAGCAGTATCACAGCCCTCACACATATCGAATGAGATTTGTGTGGCGCATATGTATTTGGTCCCTCCTTGTACCGATGTTTATATGTTAAAATAAATAAATAAAAAATAAAAATATTTATTGATTATCTGAAGTAGATTTTCCATATAAAACTTATTACCTGTGTTTAACTGGTAGTTCAAAATCAAACTACAAAATTTACAAAAGATTTCCAAATCAAAGTAATTTTTTGTTTGTCATCATAAGAACACTCTGTGTGTCGTTGTGGTCTACATCCAGACAGTACTTATTATTTGATTTAGTTCTGTTTCCTATTGGGTAAACAATTCAAACAGTTTTCGTTACTTTAATATAGTTGGTTAGTTAGTGAATGTGTTCAAATCGGAAAAAAAGCCATTGTTGCCTTCAGTTAAATAGGTTTAGGCATATAGTTCTTTAACATCTTTGACTGGATTTTGTAAACGATGGCTTCGAAGCTGAATATACTATGATTTGTTGCGTGACTTCTCCCAACGGTTTTTCAATAGATCACCAGTTACATTGTAGTGAACGAGAATTCAGCTGGGGGAAACCAATTTATCGTCTAATGCAAAGTTACACAGTGGTCTGGTAAAATATGAAAATCATTCGTTAAATACATCATTTGCATATCTTGACGTTATCCTTTTAAATACTCCATTATTCCTCTAATTCTATTGTTATTTTGATTCCTTTACTGTATCCTGTCTGTTCTCTTGAATTTAATCTTCTGCTGCTAGGGATTCCGCTCCCAACTGCGGTTACATACAACATGAGCTCATTGACTTTTTCTTGCTTTTTCATCGTCAAAGTAGGGATAGTAATAGATAGTATTTTGATTTTACCTCGGAAACCTGTAAAATATCAATTTACAGGTTATTTTCATTGACATACTATTAAATCCCGTTATATATATATATATATATATATATATATATATATATATATATATATATATATATATATATATATATATATATATATATATATATATATATATATATATATATATATATATTTGTTTCTGTTTTCTTTCATAGAACAAGGACGAGATTTCGAGACATTTACTAGTATTATTCACTACCTTCTTTGTGAAATTATTTATTCTTTTCTGTCAATTTCATTTGTTTATTAGTTTTCTACTGCATAATGTGATAGATACTGTTTATTTTTTATTTCTAGGTAAATATTATTTCGTTTAGTTGAACGTTTTCATCTAGCCGTATTCTTTTTTTAGCTAGTCGATTCAGTTATCTTAATGGACATAGCAGATTTAACATCAAGTGCTTTTTAGTCTGTGTTGATATTGCATAAAACCCCGTAGTTTGGTATTCTTGATCCAAAAAAGAGACTGTATAAAATTGACCGCTCTTGCATTTTTGACTCCTTGATGTTAGCATACTGAGGAGTCTATAAATTTCCAGCGGTTAAAAAGTCGGTGTCTAACTGTTCAAGTACCAAGATGTATCAGTATTTTCTTAAAATTATTGGTGGTTTATGTTTGCATTTATCGCCTCCGTCAAATATGTGACTTTTCTAAGTATACCTCTCTATATTATACTTTAGATATTGGTGTGTACAGCTTAAAGCTATTCTACGAAACATATTCATTTGTTTAAAATCAGTCAGTTTTACTCATCGTAGAACTGCGTACATATATGCATTGGTCCTAGTTGTCCTACCACATTAGCAGAGCGAAACAAAATTATCGAGACAAATCCTAGAGTTGTAAGGGTATTAATAGTATTGGTCATAGTAGGGAAAAATGGGTATATAAGATATAATTCGAGAAACAATGTGGATTCGTAGAATAAACAAGTTATGAGATAATTTGGAAACCTAAGATCTAAGGGAATACAAAGAGTGAGTTCAACCGTGTTATTGGGAATAATTTTGATCCATATCAGCCTGTAACCATTGGTGACGATAATTACACTAACGAGATAGTCCGCACCTACCTACATGTTTCAGTCCAATTGTTAATGAATTCATGAACCACATTTTGGTTTGGATGCCTCTAGCTTTCTTTCAGCCTATTTTTACATCAGCCATCATCGCTCGTCAGCTAAATATTGGATAGTCCTCACCGTAAGACTTGAAGGTCCTGAGTTTGACACCTTGTGGGATCGTTTATGCTCACCCTCAATTCGCTCTATACTAGAACGAAACAGCTGTCCATTGCTTTCTAGTTTTTAATCGGGGTCATTCCGTAATGTAAACCATAAATCATATAGAAATTATTGGTTGAAATCATATTGTATTTTCTTTTTTGAAATTTTACCCATATATATTAAACCACTAGAGAAAGTTATTTTAGTCGTATTTAAAGCATTAAGCAACAAAGATGAATTATTGTTTAAAGTACCATGTTGATTTAGATCAAGTAAATCTACCCAGAATCAGTTTCTCTCCTCCTGCAAAAATTGTATCTCTTAATTTAATATTAAGAACTGTATGGTTTTATCAAGGGTCAGTATAAAGTCAGTAAATAAATTTTGTTTGTCCACTTTAATTCACGATGTTACTTGGTTTCACAACTATATAACAGATATGGGTCCAAATGGCTAATTGATTTACACAAGTTTATTCGCTATTTTTCTCAATGTATCGCATATGTAACGTCCTTGATCTGTCTACCCAGTAATATACAAACTTCTTCAACCTCGAGGCTAGAATTGCATGAGTCTGAACATCAACTAACAGCCTTGGGTAGAGAGACGAAAACCATATCACCTGACCGGTTGACAAGCGATAGAGAAGACGACTCAACTAGAACAGTCATTCCGATTTAGATCAGTGTAAAAAGATATGTAAATAAATAGATGAATAACATGACCACAACGAAAAAGCAATTAGAAAAATACATTATGTCCAGAATGGAGATTAGGATAGAAAAATGGAGTACCAAACGTTACGTTTAAATCACAATAGCTTTGAAGCAGAATAGGGTTTCGCAATGAATAATACATCAAACGAAAGCTTATGGCTTTTAGAATAAATTAAGGAATAAACTAAATGTTAGTACTTCACAAATAGTGAATTAAGTGAAATCATACATTTTTGATAATAAGAATAGATAGAAAAATATCCTTTCTATTTGTATAGGTTCGTGTAGATTGTTGAGTTTTGACTGACATAATGAGTTGTTCAATGTTATACCACCACTGAAAACTTGGAAGCATTGCTCAAGAGTCTCATTGGGGTGGAACGGCCGTTCAGTACCTCCAGGTTTTAAATGGTAGTCTAACATTGATCGAAGAAAAATATCTCACTGTATTTTTCGATTCCTTGTTTGTGTTTGTACTGTAGCCAGATTATTTTAAAGGTGATATAACTAAATGAACTGGAAATCTTGTTTAGATTTAAGGATAAAAAGCTAAAGCAATTAGTACATTTGATAAATTTCGATCGTGTAATAAGAAGACTAAGACTATCAGAACTATGTGATGATATATTAGCGCAATATATTTCGAACAATCTGACCACACATTATATACTTACTAAAGTCAACTAGACTAGAAATAAGTTGTAATAGAAAACAAGGATAATGAAGAAATAATGTGAGAACAATTTGATACCTCATCACTCTGGATAATAAGCTAATATTACCATGATAGGTTTAAAGTGAGAAAGAACTGTTTCTGAATAGACGAAGGGGGTTTGGATTTTCTTCTGGTTAAGGCTTCCATAAACCTTAGTATACACCCTATAACATTTTTGCACAACACTACAAAAGCCGAGTTAAGATCAATCTTACGACTTGTTTCAATTATGTTTTTGGCAATAGAGGATGACGGATGTTTATCTTCTACTCTTATTGGGTCATTTGATTCTATTTGTTTCTGCAACCATTTAGGTACATGTTCCTACACCCTAATCTTGAGTTCATAATTACTTTTGTGTATTCAGCTTGTGCCTTGATTTTTTCTGCTCTTGTTCGTCTGATGCTGATTATCATTTCCTTGTTCTTCCTCTCTTGAATCTTGTCCAGCGTTTCGATAGAGATCCATCCCTTTCGATGATGCTAGTTGCGTTCCAACACCTGATATGCTGAAGTTAGTGCTTCATTGACCCCTTTCCAGTTGTCCTCTATCGTAGTTTCTTCTTTAAGTAGATTCTGTAAGGCTGGGAACCTGTTAAAAGTTATCTTGAATTGCTTGAGTTTGCCAGTATCTCGAAGGAAGTCTGTACTGAACCTTTGTATTGCTGTTTCCCCTGCTGTCCAGTGTCTTTTTAGCTTCAGTTTCATCTTTGCCACAACCAGGTGGTGATCTGAATCTATGTCATCTCTCTTTTTTCCCACGCCTTCCATTGTCCTTATGAATTTTTTACCGATGCAAATATCATCTATCTGATTGTCCGTGGTGTGATCCGGTGAGATACATGTAGCTTTGTATACGCGTTTGTGTGGGAATATTGTACCGCCTATAACCACTTTGTTGAATACGCATAAATTTGCAAATCTCTCAACATTTTCGTTTCTATCCCCCAGTGAATGTTGTCGCATGATATCTTCATGACCGTTGTTATCCAACCCGACTTTGGCGTTTAGGTCTCCCATTAGGATGGTGAGATCCTTGGGCACTGCGCTATGATTGATTGCAGCCTCTCATAAAACTGATCTTTATGGACGTCACTATCATTGGTGGGTGCATAACACTGAATAACATTCATTGTGATTTTCTTGTTCTTTGTTTTGAAGTATGCTTTGATGATCCTGGATCCGTGAGATTCTCATCCTATAAGTGCATTACGCGTTTCTTTGGACAGCATCAGAGTAACTTCTTAAGTGTGTAGAGCGTTTCGCTCTTCGTGACTGTAGTACAACAGCATCTCTCCCGTATTTAGCATTTGCTGTGCAGGTCGGGTCCAATGGGTTTTACTGATTCCGAGTACTGTCAAGTTGTAATTACTCATTTCCGTTGCTATTTAACTAGTCTTCCCGGTCTCCATCATTTTCCGGGCGTTCCATGTACCTATAAAAATTGTTAGTGTTGTGGTTATTAGAAGCGACATCGGCCTCGTGACTTCCGAAGAATCTCGGTTTTCATTATGAGGTGTCATAATTCCTCCTTGAACTCGGAGCGCAGAGTTGAAATGGTTTAATTTGTTTAATCTGGTTGGCGTTTTGTTCGCATGGTTTTTTTCTACGGGATGGGCTTTCCGACAATATGTCCAACCCTCCTCCTTTGTGTGGGCCTGCGACCATCAGTAACTCTAGGAGAGTTGAGTTTCACAAACGTTTTCTATCCCTAAATGAAATTAGGGTTTAAAATATAAATGATTGCGTTGTGTATATCCCTCTTCATTGTTTATTTAACTTATGTATGATTCTTCCAGATCTAAGAAACGTTGTAATTATACAGTGTACTTAATTTCCATTGTTTCCAAGTTCTCTGTATTTGATCGTATTAAATTAAAATCCCCTCTATTGATTGTTTTTCTAATCAGGATCATTTTTAAATTCCTTATTATTTATTGTTGTCTGTTGCTTGTGTATTCACTTTTTGTCTGATATAGGGTTTTGAATAAAATTGTATATCCTAAACCATTAAGTCATTTTCGTATTGTTATAAGCCTTCTATAATTATCCTATAAACAAAAAAAAATATCAAGGCAATCGGTGTCTTTAGTAAATTTCTTCTAAATGTCCAAGTCAAGCCTGCTTTTTATTCAAAATGTGATGTGGTTTACAAGCTAATTAACATACCTTGTAATGTTAGATGTAGCAATCTGAGGCAATACTCATCTTAAGCTGTCTACTAATAACTGTTCTTGTTGAAAGTCCAAAAATGTCCTTTGAATGAGACTCTAGAAACCCAGCAGAAGTTTGCCTGTTTAATAGACATTTTGTTCTTTTTCCTAACTTAATATTAATAAGATGTTAGTGTGAATAAAATGTATCCTACTGGTTTTCTGTCAAACATAAGATAAATTTATGTTGTACAAAATGAACCTAGTGTCAACTTTATTTTCAATGGTGTAAATCATTCCCTTGTTGTTAATGTTATGAACTGCAATTAATTGGTCTGTTGTTGAGGCATATACATCGTCAATTGATAGCTTCGATAATATTGTTATGTCACACGTTTTTTTTAAAAAATTAAAATTAGATTAGTGACTAACAGGTACGAGTTCGAAATAGAACAAAACAGATGTTTTGGATTCCACTGTTAACCATTATTCAACTTTACTTATTATAACGGTTGTTTTGCTTACAAAAACCATACTTTGTCAACTGTTGACACATAATCATCTGTTAGTTTATTCCTAGTTTGAAAGCACAGGATACTTTAATTACATTAGCCATTATTATTATTATTATCATTATTATTATGTATTAGTCTGTACACTAAAATGCATGTATATTGTTTTAAAGTTGTTTATTTTCGTGTTGATTATGCACTGAAGTGGTTTCAGATTGTTTTATTCTATCAAACACTGTTTTTCCTTCATCTCATTTTCTTCTTTGTATTTGCATGTAATGAGTATAGTGTTTGAATTCTTGTATTGTGTTTTCATATTTATCGTAATGAATTTTAGAGAAATCAGTTTGAGCAAAATATTAAAAACAATGTTTTATTTTCTTTAATTTAAAATAAATATATTCTCTTATTTAAGTAGTAGTGTTCAATTACATTTATATTACATTATAGGATATCAATGGACTCATACGGAATAAATTGTCTCATTTAAATTGTTGTTGTTTTTTTACTGTTATATTGAGTAGTATGAATTTGAACTTCATAGAATGCAAAGATTGCAGATTATCTTTTTTTCTTTCTTTTTCTGACGCTCATCAATTTATGACTCTGTGTCTGAAGTGAATCTCAAAGTTAATTTTTCAGTGAATTTATGAATGGATTATCTCATACAGTAGTTATTATAAGACTCAATTGTAATGTTTGTCTACTTCTTAAAATTGTTAAAATAATGAATAAATACTCAGTAATCTACTTACAAGTATTCATTTGCGAATATGAACTGTTTGTTGTGTAAAAACATTAATGATCCTTCTACTAAACTGTCTATATGTCTTTAAGTAAGTAAGTAAAAAACTTATTGAATTTGTTACCTCTACTAGTTGTATCAGTTGAACATTTGGCAATTAAACATACTTCTCTCTAATCTTCTACTATTATGCTGATTGCATAGGCTATGACACATCAAATTAACAGAACATTTGAAGATTAGCAATAAAAAGATGCTGTTATATGGAAAATAATAATTCGATATTGAATAATTACAACTGAAATCATATTAGTCGAACTTGTTCAACATTAAACTTGATATACAATAACCCTACATAACACTTAAGTATTATTACGTTTTTAAAAAATACTTTTTGTACGTTTGGCCTTTTTGATTGATTGATTTCCTTTCTAGTTGATGAACCGAATGTTTTTGGACCGCATACATCACGATTCAGGCGATATGTTCATATGGGTGCGTATTTTTTTCCCTTACCACACAACCAACATGCTTACCTTTTGACCTGGTGTCATCGTTTATGGATTTTATTATTATTTTCTCCCTCATATATAATCTTTGTCTCCTACTTTCTAATGACTAATAATAATCCTTTATTTCATAACAATATCATATATGTTTTGTTTGAATCTTGTGTTCCCCGTTATAAACCCGTATAAGGTGAAAATTTGATACCTGGAATGTTAGTTTTTCTGTCCATACCTTGTAATATTGAAATATCTATAGCTTAACCTAAGTCGATTGTTGGTAAATAGTTCAGTCGTATCTATATATACTCATACTATATTTCGAATTCTTATTTTTTTGTTATGTCAATCATCTTTTCATGTGGTAAATCATTATTTGTTTGTCTGTTTTTCTTAACGTTGTTCATTATAGATCATCGATTGTTTTGTCTAAGTTTTACGTGTAATTGTTTCAATGTACATTTCCAGTCGTATGGGTACGCATGAGTGAATTGTTCACTTCAAAGCACTTGAAAAGAGCATTACAGAATAACATGTATATACATACAACACATTGAAAATGAAACTTTCGCCGACTTAAATTAATTGTCATTAATAATCCTTTCAATTGATTGATTCCTGGTGTCACTTTGTCTAACTATTTTCTCTTCATCTTATAAATTGAAAAAATCTTGTTAATATACAATTCGTTTGCAAAATTTTTATCACACAATTAGCTTTGTGTCTGTTGTCAATTGTAGGTGGTGTATCAGTAATGTTTAATAAAGCTGAATACTGACCTCTCTCCATGAATTTGTTGGTTAAATATATTTTTGAAATTGTTGTAATATGAGCTTTTTTCCGTCATCGAAATTCGAATTCCTACAAGCTGATGAACCAAATTTGTAGCTGAGGTCATGCTAGTTTATATAGTTAATAACAGCTTCTATAGACATTGGATTTGATTGGTTGTATGAACAATAATTCATAGTATAATATGTCTGCAGAGCGAACTGTTTTTAACTTAACATGTTATAATACCATAGTTCTTTTATTTCTATCCTGTTAATCATGATTATTTCATATTGAAATTCAGTGAAAGCCTCACGATCAAGTCATCTAACCCAGAAAACACAACAGGTTTTTGTGTATCCTGAATAAAACTTGAGTTCTTTTCCGGCTCTTAAGACAATGCCATCTACCTGTGTTTCATCCAATCGTAACTGTCACGTTGATATAGTCGTCCAGTTTGTATATCGTGAGGATTCGCTCGATTTATATTGGCTGAAATATTTATTTATTTAGTTCCTAATATATCAGATAAGTTGGTTGAATATTAGTAGAACTGAAAAGGGCAAATTCATGATCTGAGTACGAAACTGTACTCATCATCATATACATAAATGTACCATCTAATCTCTCATAATATTGAAAACCGACTTGTGTTTTATTTTTATATACAAGACAAAAAAATCAATATAACAATTACAAACACATTTTCATGGTTTCTTTATTGTCCATCTTCTTGTCCTGACCTTCAATATCTTCGTCTGAAGTTTTTTAAAAATATGATTGTAACTAGTATTAACTAGATATCTTCCCCTCACTCTAATTTTTGCAAGCTAGTCAATATATATATATATATATATATATATATATATATATATATATATATATATATATATATATTCAATCTTCTTTTGTGTTGTGTGTATTTTGTTTTACTCTCTTTCCAACGTGTTAGTTACTTATACATCCATATATACACGTATATTTATAACTTTATCTACATAACCAGGTTTGTGCATTTTTTTTCTGTTTCGTTGCTTTTTATAGAGTTAGTTTATGAGAATACCAATTTTAAATTGTGTTTTGTTTCTTTTTACTGCTGCTACTACTACTACTACTACACCCACACTCATTCATACTAATGGTTAATCACATATATATAAGCATAATTCTTAGTGTAGCAATTCTATTAGGAAGCAAGATATATATTTCATCATATTTATGTGTTATTATAATTAATTTCATGTTGGTATAGCTCAAGCAGCTGTTGGTAAGTGGATTTACTGATTATTTTTTATGGTTGTTGTGTTACGGTTCTGTCTTTTTGTAATATTTATCCGTTGGTGTATTTTCATTTTAATCAACAATAAAAAAAGCACTTTATTGTAGATTTTCATATTGATCTTATGCATGAGTTTTATCTAGCATTTCTCTTGTTTTGTTTATATCACTTCAAAATATCATAGAATTTTCTTATTTCCACTTGGTAATTTGGACAGTTTTGAGTATATACATGTATAGATGATAGTGTAAATAATGTTGAGAATGTTCATTATATATATATATATATATATATATATATATATATATATATATATATATATATATATATATATATATAGTCATTGCTACATCAGGCATTATTCAACGGAATTACTATAATTGATAGGGTGTAGATGTCTAATGATGAATACATTTAGAAGTATAAACCATTGAATACCAACTCCAATGATCTGAATTATTAAGCTCTCTCTACCAGACCTGAACATGTGATTAGGTATTACAAACGGAATAATTGAACAATACTTCATAGTTCCCTATGATTGCAAATCTTTTTTTCCATATTTATCATGTTTTAATCAATAAATCAGAATGTCTATTTCTGAGTGCATAAAATAATATCTTCACACATCTGTCTATATTGTTACCACCACAATAAAAGATTAATTTCACAACCATTGAAATTATTTGGTATCCATTTTTAACAACTTACTATTTAAGGTTAAGTAGTTTTATCTGCATTCCTTTTAATACGCAAAATATGTCAATGTTTATTTTTTCAATGAAATGAATCGCTTTCTATGTGTTTATGTGTGTGAATTTGTTCTTGTTTAGTATCTGATTGGTGGTGGTAATAGTAATATTTGTCTTCATCCAAAGATTATTTAAATTTTTGTTTTTGAAGTGAAGTTTTTTTTTAATCTTATTTTGTTCAGTCTCCAGATAGAGTAGTAGGTGACATTTTCTCAGATCATTATCACTTTTAAAATTTCTCTCGGTGATTATTGATCTTACTAAGTCTTTTAGTTATTATTTTTTTCTATCATTTACGACTTCTAACTTAGAACACGCAGTTTGATTAGGACTGAGAAATATTGGACATACATGACATTAATCACTACTCAATGGTGAATACATGTCATTCCTAAAGATGATAGTCACTCACGGTCTGGATAGCTCAGTGATAATGTCTGTGTGACATGGGAATATCAGCTACCTGAAGTTTATAGGTATACCTTGCTGACGAGTGCCAACTTGCACAAAACCTAGGTCATGCACAGTTTTCCTTTCGACTACGTCTAACTCCCAACATACATGTGTTTTATCTTAAAATGTGTAACCTTGTATCTAAACAGGTGGCTGACCACATTTTGCTATCTACATGTATTATCATCATATATTTTCCGTTTCATTATTAGTTTTTGAAGTATAATTATTTTTCATTATTTAATTGTTTACTCTGTGTTTTTCTGTACAATTGACCAAGAAAATCTAACACTATCACTTATGTAAAATCTAAAATTTCATTCTTATAAATTCACTAAAAGTGTTCTTATAAAAATGCATTCAAAAGAGAATTAGAATAATTAACAAGAAGTTTCTCATCAGTGATTTACTCATTAAAGGTTTTTGAACCTAACTCCTTTCTAACATAGTTGTAATTTGAGTGTTTTTTTAATCATATTCAACCTCTATTTTCCGTAATCCTTTTAAATAACAAATTAATTTATCTTTTTTTTGGATTAAGGTCAACCCTGATACTCCTACATAACTAATGACGATACTGTAATTTCTAATGTAAATTAACTTGTTCAGCACGTACGCTCTAGGTGTAAGGGCAAACGATGCTGCTCCGTTACCTGAACCAATGTATTTGGGGCAGTTTCGATCCCACAAATTAATGAATAAAAGTCAAACGTCATAACCATTAAGCCATCGCTCCATAACACTGTATAAACAATACTATACCTTTAGTATGATTTTTGTCATAAACTTTCACGTAATGGGATTTAATCTTTGTCATGATTTTAGGCGTGTTAAGGGTATATATGTATAATTAAACCCAAATTATGTTACCCCTCTTGAGGCATAGCCTGCTGACCAGGAATCTCTAACTTGTTTTGTCCCTGGCTCTTCTTTCCATTTCTCTCTTAGTGTTATTCATTTTTTTGGATACCTGCCTTCAGTTCCTGGCACAATATACAAATATGTATCCTATTCATTCTCGGTTATGTTCACCGCTTAAAGAAACTTCCTCGTGAGGTGCTTGATAAGTATACTGAGTGTTAGGTGTGATCTTTATGAGATGACTGGTGACTGCAGTGTCGAAGAGATAAATACTCGAGGCCTTTCACACACGACCTTTAAGTGAGTAGCTTTGGATATGTTAGCTTCTTACTTTTAATACCTTATCGTGGACAACGGAAGTCTGTGGTTCAATGTGTGGTGTCATACTTTTAGTTCCGATTTTTTATGACCCTCTACCTTCTTTGCAAGAGTGCAGTACGGCTACAGATGCTAGTTAACTGAGGGAAGACCCTGCTGCCGTTATACCTTAGCACAATCCATGGTACTGCGCCCCCGGAACAAAAGTTTGCTACTCTTAGTCTTATTATTTTCCAAACGACTCGGTACGACTCAAAGGGACGAATGTCCCAGCCTATATTGGTCGATCAAGTCATAATCTAAACTTGGCCACCATGTAGCATTTACGTCAGGAATTATCTCTTATAATATGTATATCTTAAAGCTTAATGGATAAAAATGTATGTCTGGTCAATAGATGACAATAAATGTTTAGATTACAGTGAACAATTCAAGAAGTTGACAGTTTAACTCAGTGCAAATAATCCAGGTCGTTGGTAGTCCTCCTGTCCTATAATATCATTTATTAGAACCATATATTTCAAGTCTGTTAATTCCATTCTCTTAGTAACTTTCTCAAAGGTAGTTACATTTTAAGACGGAATTATTAGTGCTAAATTTGTATCAAAGTAAAACGTACTAAATTACGCACTTCTTTCTAATATTATGTTTATAAAAACTAATGAAGTTGACTTTTTTCCACCTAACTCACCGTCTTAATTGTTGATTAATTTGTTAAACAACTATACACACTAATATGAAAATTTGATCACTTTCATTCATAATAAAGGTTTGATAGTTCTCCTAATGATTATCTTTATGTAATACTTTCAAACTGTAAATGTATGCCTAATGTAAACAGTTATGTATTTCGACTTTGATATATATTGATGGTGTTTTAGGACTAGTCATACTGTAGTGAACAAGAACACGGGTGGGGACAATCGATTGTATTTAACACAAAGATTACAGACTATCTCAATAAAATGTGAATACCATAAAGTCAATCGTCAATTTGCAAAATATCATTCCATCATATCAAACTGTACTGTTCCCGTTGCAAACACTAATCCATTGTCTCCCATTCCATTGTACATGCGTTTTCTTACAATTCCATTGTGCTCTTGCTCTTCCTTTCTTGATCTTCGCCATCTTCTGCTGCCGGACATTACGTTCTTTTAACGCACGTTATATACTACTTATATGAATATAAGTAGCTCACACCACAATACTACCTGACTGATCAACCTGAAGTAGATATTGTAGTGTGTTTCAGCCTGTAATTTATTAATTACAAACTCTGAATGGTATGCTTTATCCACCGAACCACTAGTGTATATATTACTTCAGAACTAATGGAGGTTAAGAGTTCCGTTCGATTTAAATGAAAATTCTAATGTATATGCTATTTAATCGTTAAAAAATATATGTGATATGTATATAATATATATAATATATATGATTACTGTATTGAGTTACGTATGCTCAAATTTTTTTAGGCATTATATATTGATGTGAAGCTGATTCAGTTCTGTATTATTATAGCAGATTGTACATTGTATTGAGTGATATAATCAGTATATTATAATATTTTATGTTTAAAATTATCTGCTTCATTCATGGTTTGATGAGCACGATATATTTTTTTCATCGACTTTCGTCAATTTCATTTTGGTTAAAATTTGAACATTGTTCCAGTCTGGTTCACCTTTCAAATTACTTGACCTTGAAATGCTTTTAATTACTACATGGTACTCTGATTGTGTTGTTGTCTAGTGTGTCCGTCTTTTCGTTCATCCGTCTGTCTTTGTCTCCCTTTTTATATGTATTTCTGTTCAATACCATACTTTAGTATGTATATATATATATGGCGTTGACATATTGTTCTTTTGTCTGAATCCGGTTTAAAGCAAACCTTCTGTACATCCCCTTTATCATATTGTTATTTCATAAAGTTACTTTTTGATCTCTTTTTATATGACCAGCTATTCACTTTTTGTTTGCTTTGTTTTACAATTTTATCGAATAAATAGCATTAAAGCAAAGTACTTCCAAACGTCTTCATCGTCCTATGGCTGCTATCAAAACTCTAGATGGTATGTGTGCCGTTTCATAATTGTTCATATTAATATTTCATTCATAGTTGTTTCTTTCCTTTTTTGTTTTGTATTATTTATACCTTTTCACTAGAAAAAGTTACATTTTTTCAGAGTTTAACAGTCATACTTCATTAATAGGTGATTTGATTATAATTTACGACAATTATCAGCTGATTTTACATGTGATGATGATGATACACTGTCGACTTTATCCAGTTTTTTTTTGTTGGTAAAAGCTTACGTCAAAGGCTCTGTGTAATAAGTGTGATCACGGATTTGATTTTACGATTAAACAGTGTTGTCTGATAACCTACTAGTATGTTAAACGTTTTTTTAGTCCTGGTCATAATTAGTCGAATTCTAATGATTTAGTTAAATGTTTATTACTTACAGAAATAGATTAACCAAGTATAGCTTTTATGTACTTCGTTTACTGTCACATTTTATTTAAGAGCTACTGATCTCTCACCTAGTTGCCTGAACTGAAGTAGAGATAGAAATTATGAATCTCCGTAAGCTTTCATCACTAAACCACAACAATCTCTGCTTATAGCTTAAATCAAATGTTTGAAAATCATCCTGGTTATTGTGTTACTTGTTTATATGCGAGATTCATGTTGCTAGATTATCGATTTACTATGTAGTATTCTAATTGTAACGCACCGCAAACCCTGGATCATTTGATCTGTGACGAAGTTTTGCGTGTACATATTAGCTCGAAGTCACAGACTTGACATAAAACGACCATACATATAAGTGGTTAAACAATACGCTTTAAGGAAACTTTAAAATTAAATTTATCGAAAGGCTTTCTCTTATCATAGCCAATGCTTACAGTTTCGCTTAATTCACTGTTAGTATTTTGCTAATTCACTCTTCCCCTCTCTTTCATATATATCAACTGTTCTGTAGATACGATTGATTTGGCTGACAAGTAAGCATGAAGATATATATGTATAACATTGACTTTTTTCATGTCAAATGCATTCATACACATACGTTTTAAATCATTTCTATTTGATTTCAGTGAACTTATTAATTTTCATATATTTCTCCAGTATTTCATTAAGATATCTGTTTCGTTTACACTAATCGATTATCGGTTAGAAATAAATTTCATGTCACCTCATTCCTGTTGCCGGTCAAATTTTAATTGTATAGTATCCAACGTAATCTCGATAATATCACAATAACTCTTTTTTAAGATATGCTCAAACCAAGTCAACCCATAAGAAGCTTCTATGGTAAAAATCTCCACAACCATTTAATGGCAGATGTTGCCCCGAAGATCGAAGGTCCTACCCCCGATCATTATTGTATGTGCACTGCTTAAGAGTCCCATATTAGAACGAAATCACTGTTCAGTAACTCCTGGTTTTCTAACTTAGACCTGCTCGAGATTTCGATAACATTTGACAGTCTCCAGAAACTAATGTGATAATAGTATTTAGGTTGGTCTACAAAAGAACATATTTTTTAAAATAATGTTTGGATTTACCACATAATTATAGCTATTTCAATATCTCTTTATTAACAAGAAATGACCGATTTCGTTCTCATAAGTTAAACCTGGTAAATGACGTTAGAATTATTCAGGTTCTTAACATTTCTACTGTAACTATAAGTCGCAAAAAAGTACTTCTGTTCTTATGTTTCAGTAATCTCCATGATATCATGTCATGGCTTACTCAATCGTTTAGTTATTCCCTGTGGTTGTTCTGTGGCATAAGTTAGTTACTTCGCTATGTTCGTTTTTCGTAATTTCGATCACTCTTAAAATCACGGCTCACTTTGATCATAAGTTCTCTGTAGACCTTAATTCCATATTAGTTTTCTCCACTAATAGTGTGTATTCGCAAACCTCAGAGAACTCATAATCCCTAGGAAATTCAAACCTTCATCACTAAATGCTCCATTCACGCACATACACTTTACCCTTGAACTGATTGAGCTACGACTGACATCCTGTAAGGATTTGTTAGAAATATGCTAACGATATATGTGTGATAATGCTTTCATATATATATATATATATATATATATATATATATATATATATAATCTAACAATCATAGAGTTAATGCTGAATTTGCAAAATGTCCATCAATTTTCTCAATATGACTCAGACTTCATTGTTCTTACATTTCCATACAAATTGCATTCTGTTTCCATTCTTTACTGTTCGATCCTCTTGTCTCTCTGCTGCCAGACCTTCTGTTCACTACTAACATCATATACTAATTATGTCAATATAAGTAGTACACACCACAATACCAACCGAAGAACGTGTATACTGCACAGCTGTGGAATACGGTCTCTAAAAGTAGGATGCATGTATAGGCTACTGGTTTTTGATCATACTTATCTTCAAAGCAGTGTTTTCCTTTCGTGGGACTACCACGTAAGCAGTGTTGTATAGGTTAGGTATGGGGTACTGAGCAGTGTAAAAGTAATTTAGGAGAAAGTTAGAGGTGACCAATTTAAAACTTAAAGTCACTGTCAGACAGAGCTCTGTAACGTCGATACAAACTACCTGGTTAAGGTCCGCGTAATAACTGCGACCAACAGTTGGAGATATTAGATGACATGTCGCCAAATTGTTCACAATCGTTCAGATCTATTCATTCTTTACTTTGCTCTTAATCTTAAATTCTGGTATGTATTCATATATACCTTCCCACTATGTTTTCTAGAACCTTATAATCGGCGTTTAGCTTTCCTTATTTTCATTAGTACTGCATTGTTTCGATCTGTTTTGTTATTCATCTTGTTAATTTCATCTTATCTTACTAAAATCATATTATAACTTGAAACAATAAACATCTATGCTAAGCACTTATTTGATGATACCTAACTGATTAACTTTACATTTCCCTAGTCATTCTATTTCCATTTTCTATTACAGAGGAACAACATATGAAAGTGTTAAATCGACAGGTGAGATTTAGTTTATTTATTTATTTCATCACAAACTATCATATTCTTCTTTTGGTTTGTTGTTGAACAAGATAAAACAGTAAATGACTATTTATGCATAATCTAATTTCATATTTTTATAAGTCATCATATTCGTTGGTTTTGTACTACCGTTTTTTTTTTTGGTTTATTTATTTACAATTTCTCTGAATAGAAGATATGAGTTTTAATAGTCAAATAATATAATGGTAGTAGTTCTTATAAAGTAGTAGTATATATATGATGACTATTAATTGTGGCACATATATATGTAATTGACATGTCGCATGTGCATACACCACTTCATCAGTTGAATCAGTTGCATAAAGCATCACACAAATATAATTCATAGTTGATTACAATAACGTATACACAGTCTCTGAATGAAGCATATTCATTCTTTATCGATAAGAATTACTGTATTTGTTGTCATTATTGTTTTATTCTATGTAATACAAGATGGGTATTCATTTCTTTATATATGAGTATTCCTTCGTTATGTGCTTATAAATTTATATCGTATATCTCTCTCCCTCCTAACCACCCTCTGTGGAATATAATTTTAGGATTGTTTCTTTTTAATCACTGAATAATCAAATCAGATCTTCAAAGGATTTGGCTTTCATGGAATACTTTCTTTTTCGCAAAAGTCACTAACCGACTTAGTAATTTCTTAGACATTTGTTTTTCTTCGAGGAATTTAGATTTAAATCTCTGGCTGAATTGTGGTTTTTCTCAACGTTTTGACACCAATTTTATTTTTTAATTTTAACGAGTTTTATCAAAGAATGATGGGTTTTTCCGACTGCCTGATATATGGTAAAGCATTCATTATTTCTATTTCATATTTTTTATGGACGAATTGTATACAGGCCACTAGGTAAAAATGGAAGTCGTTTGATAAGGTAGCGAATCCCCGTCAACTCAGGTGGTCGAGACACCTAGTACGTTATGTTTTGCCTAGCCACTCCCTACCTCGATTATTTTCGTACTCTGGCATAATATTAAATCGAAGGGAAGCTAGAGGTGTCCTTTTTAAAGATATACTATCGGTGTGTAAAGTTATTGTCGGGCTGGGCCGTTTTATCTTGTTCTAACTACTGAGTTGGGGTCCTTACTGTTTGAGACTTTATGTGATATGAATATCTCCCAACGGCTCAAATGTATTCACTCTTTGTTTAACTTTTTTAATTGTTTTATTATTTCAATCCCACGAATTCGTTCTTCTCAATTCATTATCTGCGCTTAGTGTTTACTACAAGTGATACTATTGCTGCTTCCATCGCTACATTAGTATTTGTCATTATAATTCCGTCTCGTTTTATTGCTGTGTAGTTTGATAACTTGAACCAGTTTACTTGTATGTCAGGTTCTACGTTGTGTTATGATTAACTGACTTGTTGTAAGTGACAATTTAAACAAAAAAGGATTTTATTATTCGATATATTAAAAATTCATTGTAATAATGTTTTCTTTTTATTTCTCTTCTTCATAAATATGGTTTGTTTTCTGATCCTATATTGTGCTAACTTATATTATAACATAATGCTTCGTATTATGGGCGTATCTTCGTTTGTGTGTGTGTGTGTGTACATAATCATAATTTTCCATTTATTTTGTGATATTCTTTCCTACACTCGATCGGAATTTTACTTGACCATGATAAATTATTCCCAAGATGTTTCACCTTTGTATAGATCAGATCGAAACAGCTCAACTCAAGCGCTCATCTACTATACATCGTTTAATAACATCAGCTTTACGAAATACGATGTGCGGTGTCCATCCGAAGTCCAAAGTTGTAACGGTACATACTCAAGAAAAAGCTCATATTCTAGTTCACCATCAAAACAGCCTTATGCGATTAGAAGTAAATTGGGATCCAATTCCTCCAACATTGCGCCAATCACAAAAATGCCGAACCGGTACCGTAGTACGGGCGAACTCAATCGAAGGATCTCCACTCCAGAATCATCAATTTTTACCATGTCGTCTGAAAATGACCAAGGACCAATTACAGGAAATAATTACAGTAGAAGATTTAAACCACAATCCGGATACAGATCTACCGCTTTAATATCTTCATTTAATAATAATAATAATAATCAACGTATCCTACATTTGTACGATATATTAGCAGCTGATATTGAACGTACACCTAGTCAAATTAGTTTCAGTACATCAAGTTCAAGTGATAGATATTCAAATATTGCTGATAAACACATTAATGATAGTCAGAATAATCTATCATCACCACTTAACAAATCATCTTATTATGACCATAATTTATTACAAATAGTCAATAATCAACCAAAATCATGTGGCATTACACAAAATAGTCATCAAATATCATCGTATCAAGTTGATACTTCTCTTTTTAATTCACAAGTACTTCCGTCAAACATTGATAAAAATAATAATAGTGATAATAATAGTACATTAAAAATAAGTGATGAATCGTCTGATTTGATAAACAATATTAAAAAGAGACAATCTAATCGACTCAGTCAGATTGATTGTGCTTCATTAGAGAAATTCATGAATGATGCTTCTTCAACACTCTCCTCTCCCATCTATGATCCTTATGGGATGGCATTTAAAATTCCTAGTTGGTCATCATCACCTTCTACAATCGCATATCACCGTAATCATCACCAACCATATAATCGTCGTCGTCCTCTACCAGCCCTAATTACTGATAAACAGCAAGATTGTCCAGTTCCTTCTTCACGTAGTTCTATCAAATCATCTGGAAGTATATCACGACCTGTCCCGATACTTAGTGAATCATTTATAAGAAAGCGTCAATGTCGAAAAGTGAATTGAAAATCTCCTAACAGAATAATAGAATCTAAACAAAATGTACTTGTACATAGTATGTAATTCTTTTTTTAAAAACAACAAGCAGGAATGATCTATTTTGTACGATACCATAAGCCAACATCTGCGAATCAATTGTATTTACGACCATTACTATTTTTCTAATTCTCAAGTACACTTAGCATATAACTATACATATAGTATAATTAAGTACTCTCGGTGAGCTCTCAAGCACTAATATTTATAAGTTATTCTATGTGTATGGCTTAATAATTGCGTTATCTTTCATCATCCCCTTTTCAACACTATATTTCATAATGTGTACTCACTCACTCATTTACATGGAATTACTCACCACTATGTGTTGTTGAATTAAATGATCTTTTATTTTCTGTTCACTAATTTCTACATCCTCAACTATTATTGTTTATTAAGATTGCATGGTTTGCGTAGAGTGCATTATTAATATAGTTATTTTTATTATTGTTTGATTAATATTGGTGACAGATATTTGATAAATAACCAGCGCTTGAGTATTATGACCTACACACTGGGTCTTCTAGTTTTCATTTTTACAAAAAAACATTGTTTGAATCCTGCGTCTTATCGAACTAATGAAAGCTTTTTCTATTTACATATAACTACCTCTCTTATCAGATAATAGCCTTAATGAATCTGTTAGTTTGATTTTAATATCTCCTATATATTCAAAATATAAATGCGCGTAGTCCGCTTTAAGTTTCGCTATTCGTATATATATGTGTGTATATGTATAGGAATTCGTGTCTCATACCGCCGCTCAAACCAAAGTAGATAGAACTAACTAAGTACCTACATTATGGTTAAAACTCTGGCAACTTTAACCATTTTTCTGTTTCGCTTTAGCGTAATAATAATGAATTTAATTTGTGTACATACAATATGAGTCAGTCATAGTCCCTATAAAAGTCAATAGTAACATCTTAGACTATGAAGCTGAGTGAACTGAATTAAAATTGCACTATGAGCTTCACTTCCATGAATAATTAAATGATATAATTAAACGAATAGTGTAAACCAATAACTTTTAAAGCTATCTTACAAATAATTATTCTTTACATTTTTATTTCATCATTGATAGACACATAGACTATTGTATTTTTATATTTTTGTAGTTCTGCGCTTTTATTTGATCTATAAATCACTACCATGTCTTATTTTTTTCTAATTTATCATCAATTAATTGTTTTCCAATTACTCTGATTTTATATCACTTTATAACTAAGTTGTGTATGCTTAGTAATTTCCCCATTGTTGGTGTACTGTCAGACATTTCAAGTATGTTATTTGTATGAGTTTCCAGCCCTTATTGAATTAAGTACAACAGAGGACTGGCCTGGTTTCATCTTCTTCTTCTGATTGGACACTGTGTTATAAAGGTGCTCAAGAGCCAATAAGCGTTAATGTCTTGCTTTTTATATATTAGTCTATATATCAGTTGATAAATAGGTCATCTGTCCTACTACCAGTACAGGTAGATGAACTAATCGATAGTTAGACTGGAAAGAAACCGAACTACTAATTTCCTGTTATTACGGCCCGATCACACGGGATCTAGTACAGGCAAGTCTGTTTTTATCCTGCGTAACCTTAATCGTGGAGTGTATTCTGCCAGCTATCTCCAGTCACCTTACATACAAATAGAGTAAATAATTTCAATCACAAATTGACAAATCAAAATTATTAGCTACATTAATGCATAGTTTATGTTTCGGATTCGGTGACCAGTGTTAAAGCATCTTAACTGATCATAATATTTATACGAATATTCGTCAAGATTAGAACGAATAGTTTGACAGAAATTGGGCGTCAAGTAAAGAGAATTTTGCGGAAAATTAGAAAGTAGTTTCATCGATCTAGTTTTATCTAATCAGCTGATCTAATCAATCTACTCAAAATAAATTACCTTGTTAAATTTTGAAAGTAAGAAAATTGGTTATTTTGAAGATTGATTTTATCGACTATTTAATGTAAATATTTGTTAAACTCACTTTATGTGTGATGATATTATAAGCATCATTGAAATCTAAATAAACTGATTTATCGTGCTAAAAAAACTTATTGGTCTATTGAATGTTACCAGTTGGTCATCAATAAATCCTGGTGACTCTGATGCACGGAAACGTCAGTCTGTACAATACTCAAGTTATAATGGAGTTACTCATTTACAATATGAAAATGCATTATAGTTGTTGAACATAATTCTATGTCTTAAAAAGAAATGATGTAAACAGTTGTTCAATCCACTGTATTTGTAAGGTTTTGTATTTCCGTATTGTTTATATTCTGTATTGCTACTGATCAGTTTCTTTTAAAATATGTACATGCTGGTCGAATTACTTCGATATTATTACTTAGTTGTGAGTTTTATTGAAGTTATATTCATGCTGACGATGGAATCCAAGGCTCCCGTTTCCTTCTGTTCAGGACTTGTTAGCTGGATGTAGGTACACCTCAGTGTTAATGTCTACATTAAGATATGGACCCCGATACCTGTCACTTGATACACCTACAAGTCATTCAGTAAGCTACTGACTTCAAATGGCCATGGACTTTTGTAGTAAGCGTAAATTTCGTTCGTAAGCGTTTTTATTTTCATTTATGTTAAGGATTCAAATGCCAACCGCTAGCCAATTTTAATTAATCCACTTTTTAATCGTTTGCTGTTGTTGTTATGATTAGATTATGATTACTATCATTTTGACTACAGTAGTTCTGCTTTTATTGTTTTCATTTACTTTATTGGAACATGGAATGATACACTGTATGTTATATCATTGTTATTATCTGTCCAGCCATTTATTTCATTTATAAGTACTTTAATATTCCTTATTATTAGTCAATGTGTTAAAGACTACTGGGATTGATCTCCCTCACTATTGAGAAGAGTCAAACACTTATAAATCTTACTACAGAATAATACTCTGGATTTGGCTCTTTATTTATATTACGATAATATTTTAACTTGCTAGTTATCCAGATTTTTTAAATCACACACATACAATACACCTTATAAATGAACCTGTTATTACTTGTGTAGTTTAAGCGATTTGTTAGGCTTTGATGTTATGCTGCATCATTGGTGCCTATTCCGGATTAAAGTAGCAGATAATTTGCCTTATTTCAAACAAATAAGACATACTATTGTTGTAAAACATACAAATAATTTCTTTCGCTTCTCGACTCTGTCCCATATAATTGATTTCTATGTATTAGTGAAACTACATCACAGTGATTAGCTGTATACATTCACATTAAGTTCTATTCTATGGTTCACTTAGTTTTTTATTGATTGTTCCTCGGTGAGCGTCTCTGAATTTCAACTCAGCACTCTTATAAATAAAAATAATATATTTATAATATCCCAATGAGTAGAAAATTGGATTTTCTGACGTTTCGTGACTTAGTGTAAGTCACTTCTTCAGAGAATAAATAACCAAATTAAGATTAATCCAAGTTTAAATAGTACAACGGAACAATGCAATAATTACTTCAGACTTATTTTTTTTATGCAAAAAGAATAAACTTCTATTGGTTAGTATTTTGATTAGTATATTTTTACCAAACTAGTAACATCATTCACTGGTTGTAATACTAGAGAACAGTGATTAGATGTTTTATCCATCATTATTTAATATTTTCCATGTGGAATTTACCACTTTCTAACCGTATACTTGTAAATATGAATTATTAATAATGAAAATTATTCATTCTAGTTATTTATATTTTTTGTCTTAAAACAACCATATTGTGTTGGTCCTACGTTGTAGCTGACTGACTGACTGTTTTATATTTCTGACGTATGTTATTGTTAGTTTATCTGCTGTAAACAGCGTAAAATATATGATTTTTCTTTATGGGTTTATTATTTAATTAGTTGAATGATAGTATCTTTGTTAAAACCTTTAGCTTTCATTCCTGTCATATTACTCTCTCTCTCTCTACTTCTATCTGCTTTTGCTATAGGTATTATCATGATATTTTCCAATCGACATTAGTCGCTCACACTCTAAGTCATTGAAATCTGTAGTTGTAACACGGTAGACTAATGTTGTAGGTATTGTTTCATTCTCTGAGTTGGTAGGTGTAGAGTACCTGGTTTGGATCTGCGAAATGGTAGCAACCGATGGTTAGAGACCCTGAATGACATGGTTCAAAATCATTCGCAATGGCGCAGGTGAATCAACTCTTTGTCTTTTCCCAAATTCTAATCTTCTGAAATCTTCATGTCCCTTCTTTCTCTTTCCAAATTTATTTCACTGGATTATACTCCTTGAATAACATCTTCAAACCCTAATCTATCCACTTGCTGCTTATACTCTTACCGCCTCTACCACTAAGGGATTTGAATCGACAACTGCATCTCTGTGCTAATATGGTGTGGCAACTCGAACTGATGTACGTACGTACGTACGTTGTTACTGCCTGACTGACTCTCTGAGTTAGGCAGTTTTGTCATGAAGATGCACTAGAGACTCGATAAAGACATCATACATATATCCTTACTAGTCTACAAAACTGTATTTGATTGTCCTTATTAATTTGAATATGTATATTTGTTAAATTTCTTTTTGATAGATTTACGTTCTCTAAACTAGTTGATTGAATTAGTCATTATAACTCTGAACATAAACATCACCAGAACAAACCTGACACCATATTTATTTTGATTACTTTTAACTATACAATCACTGATAGGGAAAGTTTTGACAATAACCAATCATATTTAATGTTAACCATGGTATAGGTTAGTTATAGATGCAGGGATTTTATTAACTCACTTTTATAATACGTTTGTGCTGATTGAAGTTGTCTAGAAAGATAATGAATGCTTCGCTGTTAAACTAAACAAGTTCTGAGGACGTAACTCTTCTGCAAAAATTCTTTTGATCTAAAACTCTCCACCATCTCAAAAATGAAATTTAATTACTTCAACTCGACATTATATCCCCTTTTTGTACCCACATTTCAGATGTCTTGATTGTATACACAATATAACATAATGGTGCTAGGCTATATACTCTCTGGTGTGTGTGTGTGTGTGTTCATTCACTATTGATTTTAGTGTGCTCTAACCTCCCATTGATTTTCTCTTTCCTTATTTAAACTTATGTGTAAAAATAATTGTTTCTTTCTCTACTTTCCAGATACTCGTCGTTACTAACCAATAAAGATCTATCCGCTTTCCCCAAACTTATCTCATAAAAGCGATCTGTTTAATGTTATTTATGCATAAATATATATATTCACTGTTTGTTTTGCCATACCGTATTGCGTCTACATTATGTTGTTTGTCGATTTTCTCAATGTTTGCGTCGTTGTTATTCATATTCAAGAGTATAAATATTCTATTATTTGATACAATTATTCTAACAATAATATTGTAAACAATTACACACCATATAGTTTATTCAAATCGTTGTTGTAAATACATGGATATACACATATTGATTCTTTACTATGCGACATATCTTTCGATACCTATATGTATACATAATAGAAATCCTGTCTTTGTTTTTCAACTTGGAATTACTTGTTTGTTTTTCTTTTCGTTTTTCAATGTTAACAATTGAATATTTAATTTGTACATTCCAGTTCAGTCTAAATCTTCATCCCTTTGTTCTAATTGTCTTTATACTTTTTCTTCAATGGTTTGTGAAAGATTTGCAATTTTCGATTTTTTTTTCGTTGTTTCATTTAGTGAATATGATAGTATGAATAAAATTATTGTCACTGCCGTATATTATTCTGCACTAATCGTAATCATGTCGTTTTTCGGAAATTCACTGTGCAAGTCATTAAAATGTGAATTTTGATGCTTTTTTTTCTCTCCTTATTTTCAATAATAATTGATAAATAGTAACTAATACTAATTGATTCCTATTGTTAATTCATTCATGAATAGTATACAAGTCAACTGATGGATATAGCTCTCTCATGGAAAAGTATGGATAATAATCCCTTCTTAACATTCCCTAGAATACCTGTTGTACTCATTTCTTGATATCTTTCTATATTAGTCACATATAGGCTTTTAAAATGATGTTTTCATTTGATCATTAAATAGTTCTATCCATGTATGTTTATGTGTTTTGTTTCTCAACGAGTGTACTCTCTTCTTTTCATCTTACTATTTAGAACGTCAACTTTCCAGTGTATAGTTACTTGTCGAGTGCGTAAACGTTTGTCTTTGTATAATAGTAGTGTAATGCAATAATTCATTCAAGCAGTGTTTACTTCACTTGTATTTCGTCTGTCGCATACCTTCACATTTATTTATTAAAATAATTTTCCTGTTACATTTATATTTTTTTTAAGTGAATTCTACTACTGGTGATTATACTGCTGATTTTTTTCTTTTAACGTTTGTTTTTGTTGTTTGTCCAATGCTCGTCAAATATTTTCACACATGAATAATTGACTTTTTCACTCTACCTATTTATGTTCATGATCTACATTATCCTAGTTTATGTTAAATGATTCATCTTAATAATGATGATGATGGCATTTTTAGTTTTGTTCTCTCTTACGCTCTCTATTATTCTCATCATTATTACCGTTGGTAGTCATGAACAATGATGACAACAATGTAATAACAGTCTAATTATCATACGCACATGTTATTTCTTCAGTGCTCTTGAATCTGTATTTTGTCAAATTTGTATGTTTGTTGCAGCGTTTTGTTCTATTTTCTTCATTGTTTTCGGTGGTTTATATTACCATGTGATGATTGTACATATTTGTTTTGTGTCTGGCAGTCAGTGATATAATTTATTCCATTGATTCATTTATACCTGCTTATTTACAAACAAATGATTACTACTTACTAGTATCGAGTAATATCTTCTCTTTCGATCAATAGTTATTCATGCTTTACTATTATCTCTGGAAAAATTTTCTAACGCATACTTTTGTCACATATATCACTACTACTGATCTTGGCACATTTTATCGCTATCCTCCTTTATTCGTTATTCTCCATCTCATGTTTAAAAAAGTCTAGAACAATTTCATAGTATTGAAAATGAAATCCTCCTCACTACTACCTTTCAGACATGCAATCGAAATAATTTTATTTCCGTTTATCTTCACTTATTCTTATTATGTTTTGCTCGACAAAAAAAAATCTCATTCATTTATCTGCAGAATATTGAATATTTAAAAATTTAACTTATCATTGTTATAATTAATCACTGTTATTCTTATTTGCCTGATATTTAACGAAAAGATATGTTTATCATATATAATAATTAGTTCTAAAACACTGTATTCACACAGCAGTATACAGTTCGTAGAAAAAGAGTATTATATTTTATAATTTCTATCAAGAATTAATCTCAATTAGATTACCATTGGGAAGCTGTTTCATCCTTGTGTGGGACTTATCAGCAATATATACACACGTTTTTGCTAGGGATCAAACCCAGTACCTCCAAATCAATGATTTGACAACCAATGATTCATAGTTTCAACTTCAGTGTATTTGCGATGTTGTACAACCAGTTTCACTGGTCGATAACCACTACTTCCGGGTTTTTTAATAATTGTCTAAGTACGATCTGATCCTAATGTATTATTGCTATTAGCTTTATCCAATATTACATTTTTGCTACCATGTAGAATTCTCAACACAAAGTATTTTAACAAGTTTCCTCTTATTTCTTCAATATTGAGTGGTCACCAGTTAACAGTGCAGTCAGTCGACATCTAAATAATGTACATTCTTTTCGCTGTATATTGCCAGCAACCACGATATCGCTTGGCATGCGAGAGAGCCCGAGATCGTTGCCCGGCACTTCCACATTGCAACAACCAGTTGCCACACTTTTAAGCCCCCAAACGCCCTGGTACGGTCGAGAGTGGAGAGTCCGCTCTCCTTCTCGAAATGCTCTCATATGGCCACACGTATATAGCCTCTGCCAGGGAAGCCCTCACTGCCTTCTCGGGGTAAAGATGTTGTTTACGAAATTGAAAAAATGAAAAGTGAACGTCCGGTGGTTTAACCGCTTTGGTGGACTTGGGGAGTCCACCTATGTGAGTTGGAAAACCCTGATTACAAACCAATTGTGTACATGGGCTCCAGTATCCTGAAGGAACAAATGGCGTATGAACCAATCATTGGTCACCGGACAGTATATAGTTAACTAACTAGAATTGATTTCGGACTAATCATTCAAAATCACCAATCAAATATTATCATCATTTGGCAGAGCACAACGAAAAATTTTATACAACCGACATTAGTAGTAAATCGCTTCAACAATTAATATCATGTCTTGGTTACAACGTTCCTGTGTTTATTCTATTTACTGCTATTTAATTAGTATAACATGCTTGATTATTTAGTTGCTTGATTCGATGAACATCTTCAATTGACAGTCTATAGCCAATTAATACCCTACCTTTTATCTCGGGACCACTGATCTTATTATTCTATCATATTTCATTGTTATCTGTGACTAAATGTTAGCATACCTCTTACTTTTTCAAATTTACATGGTCACTTGGTATTGTTTGGCTTGTATCTTCCTATTGAGGTTTAAGACTGCAATTGATCAGTCTGTTATTGGCATATGTGCATACTGTGCGTATGCCTCGATGTTGCCCTAATTCACAAGCTTTTTGTAAGCAATGAGGGATAGTGGCTAGCAGCGGAAATCGAGGCATACGCACAGTATGGACATATGCCAATAACAGACTGATTAATTGCGGTCTTAAATCTCAATAAGAAGATACAAGCCAAACAATACCAAGTGAATTTAAATTCACCCCATTGCACAAGCAAGTGGCTATCAGGACTCAGTAGCTGAGTGGATAACGCGATAGCGTTTGAAGCGAATGGTGCTGGATTCGAGTCTCAGAGTGAACATCAACTCTGAGATGCAGACACATCCAACTGACGAGTCCCAAATAGGAAGAAACGCACGTCCTGGATTCCACTGCTAGCCATCATTGCTTACAAAAAGCTTCTTTCATAGTATTGTAAATTAAGTTATCGATTCAATATCGTCTCAATATGTACACATACACTCTGATAAACAGACAAATATTTCATCTAAATTGATGTATAACAATTAGGCTTGTTGTTTATCTACCAGGATTTCATCAATTATTAACTCTTCAAAACTAAGAAGATACACGCTTCTTTGGTTTTTGACTAGAATAATCAACAACCTAATTGTATCTAAACCAGAATAATCTCAACAGTTCATATATTCTCAATCTAATTCAATTTACTGTCATCTAATTTTCATTGTAATTCACATTAACAAAAATTATAGAATATTCTCAAACATCATTTTACTCAATAATAATTTATTTATATAAGATGATGTAATATAATTAGTATTATTATACTTTAGTATAATGTATAAAGCATTAAATAAATACTTTTAAACTAAAAATAACTGGGTCACTTTAGTTGTTACATCACTATTCCTTTATCTAACACAATACAATATATATATATATTACATAATTTATACATTAATTGAAATGAAAAACAAAAGAAATTGATAGATCTTAGGTTGGAATCTCACGAGGTGGTATCGTGGATACGCACTACTGAGGAATCCCAAACTAGAACGAAAGAGCCATCCAGTGCTTACCGGTTTTCTATGGTTATCTAGTTTTAATTAAATCATAATCCCAACTATTAAAAATTACTATAATATCCACAGAAAAACCCCTTCTGAATAGTATATACGAGTTGATTCAAATAAAGATGATTGAATGAGAAGAGCGAAAGAAAAAAATTGGTTCATCAATAAATCTTTGTATTTTCTCTACTTGGTGATTCGATTTTCTAATATCAAGGTAAATTTCTATTTTAGAAAACAAAAACCGGCAACTATATTTTTCAGCATATAGTAACATGATTTTGATATTTAGAAAAAAAAATTAGAATGAATGTGATTGTGAGATGGTGGAGAAGATTTGTAGCTCAGGTGGATGATTTTGGTGGGGTTTTGTTGTCGGAGCTGGATGATTTCGTCGTGGAGCTTTCATCGTTCTTCTGAACGACATCATCAGCACAAACTTCAGATAGAAGTGAAGTGTTTGAATTTCTCCATAAGTGTCTCAAAGCTTGTTCTGTGCACCTCGACGTTGATTGGTTCTTATTGACTTTGGAAAAATGTGGAAATCTTAGACAGAGGAAACTCCAAAAACACCAGAGAATTTTTAGAAGCCTGGCACTCAGGTCAATCAACAAGCATATTGTAATTAATCCAATTTATCAACCAATCAGAAAAATCATGAACAAACATAAGAACAAAAATCAAAACAATGGGAGACGCAACCAAAACAAAGAAGTAAACAACAACGAATTTAAGGTCAATAAGAACCAATCAACGTCGAGGTGCACAGAACAAGCTTTGAGACACATGGAGAAATTCAAACACTTCACTTCTATCTGAAGTTTGTGCTGATGATGTCGTTCAGAAGAACGATGAAAGCTCCACGACCAAACCATCCAGCCCAGAGAACAAAACTCCACCAAAATGGATGTGATTGTTTAAGATTTTTTTCTATTTAATATAAAGTAGACGGGATCTATTATTATTATTATTATTATTATTATTATTATTATCATTATTATTATTATTATTATTATTATTATTATTATTATTATTATTATTTGTAAGCATATGATTTTACTTGTATAAGTGACAAATATGGATACATTTTTTTAATTATCTACTAAAGATTTCTATTCTATTCTAAATCGAATAAAGAAAAGGTGATGATAAGTAAATGATCTATGAATTGGTCATATGAATTTCAACTGACTCAAAGTAGATCAATGTTATATTACTGTTAATGATAATAGTAAGATATTATGAGTTCACGTTATAACTTTGATTAACTATATATATATCACTTTATAAATAACTTATGGTTATATTGAATACTTTTATATGGTAAACATGAATATTGTGGTCTTATGTCGATTACAGATAACTAATAACGATCATTGAATGTTTAATTTAGCATATATTCTATAGATTGATCACTTTAATATAACATAGAAGTAAAAATTCAAATATAAGTTATTCTTCAGATATGTATATTTTATCAGAAGGGATTTTGTGGAGATTTTAGAAAGTTCACTGATTGAAATCATGAGTTAAGCTTCTGGTGCGAGACTGATAGATCCTGGGTTCGAATCTCGTGGGGTGCGGGATCGTGGATGCGCACTGCTGAGGAGTCCCATACTAGGACGAAGCGACCGTCCAGTGCTTTCAGGTTTCCCATGGTGGTCTAGCTTCAATTGACTCATGATTTCAATCAGTGAAATGTATATTTTGGACAATTACACGAGCAAGTAAACTCAGTGAGGGGATATGAAAAAGAAATAGATGCAGGCAAGAAGCAGATATGAGGGAAAATAATCGGTAAGATAAAATGAGTGCACAAACATGTACAGGCTAATCCCACATAAAAAAATGTACAGTTAACAGTGGATAGTTAACAAGGTCAAATATGTGAGTCATACAATGATTACATTAACTAGAAGAATTAATGTAGGGGTTATAAGATGTCTGTGAAGGTTATTACTGGTGATTTGATTCTTTGATGTTAGTCCTGTAGTGAACAGAACACGAGTGCGGACAATCGAATTATATTTAGCACAAAATTACAGAGTTGGTAAAATAGAAAAACCATACTATAATACTTAATTTGCAAAATGTTCAATAACTGTCTCGAACTTCGTTGTTCGTGCATTTCCATACTAATTGCTTTCTATTCCCGCTCTTCCTTTCTTGATCTTCCCCATCTTCTGCTGCCATACATTACATTCCTGACTAGCGTCATATACTACTTATATCATTATAAGTAGCGCGCACCACAGTTTGACTTCGGCTTCAGTGGTTTAGTTAATCAGCTGTGTCGTAATAATAATGTATATCAATTTCAGCATAAGTAAAGATTGAGAATCATATACACTTTATCACCTATAAGAGAGCTATGAAATGGCATATTCGGATCAATAGTAGTTTATGTAAACTATCAATAGATTGGCGTTCTTTAAGCTATCAGTTCGATTTCAGCTATAGTTTAATATTCATTTTGAATGAGTTTCGTTAACTACTTAGGAAATGAATTATTTACTTACTTACGCCTGTTACTCCACGCGAAGGAGCATAGGCAGCTCACCAGCATTCTCCATCCAACCCTGTCTTGGGCACTTGGGAAATGAAGCTATGACAAATTAAGCGTATAATATGTGACTTACTTTTCATAATATGTTTCTTCAGTAATAGATAATCAAGTATCATTCTACTCGAGATAAGTAGGATAATAACAAACTAACCTAGAAACTAATAGTTAACAAGCATATTTGCAATCCACTTAAATGCCATCCAACAATGTTAACATCTAAATTCAATAAGTCCAAAATATTGAGTGACCATCCTTCATTATGTTTGGAGAGTGACTGCCTCATAGCCAACACGAATTAACCGAAAATCCTGCGTACGATCCTCGTGTGTGAGTTTGTGGGTGTCCACTTCTGCGGAACCCTATACGAAACAGCCATCTAATGACTCCAGGTTTTCATTGATAGTCTAATTTAGATCAGTTCATAATTCTAATGAAATCCGACAATCTCACATTGAAAATTGTTCTTGTTATTTAAGTGTTTTGTCAGATTTTTTCAACTCATAACAGTTTGTGTAAAACTATACTTTTGAACTGGGATGTTGTAATATCCATTTTATTTATTTATATCACCTTTACTGACTAGGCTAAATGTTTGACGCTACGAATATATTGGGGA